CATAAACCTTACTGTTTTATGCGACTTTGCTTTAATTTAATGAAATTTGAAATCTGAGAAAATATAGCTCACTATAATTTATAGGTGTATATAGCTATATAGGTCTTTATAGCTATATAGCTCAATCGGCAGAGTGTACTGGACCTGATATAGTACACACACACCCTGTATTCCCATAGGAGCCTGAAGTTCTCTAAATAATGAATAATAATAGTAATACACAAAATACCTCTTAAATGCTTAAAAAAAATAAGCATTTAAGAGGTGGTTTTTTTTGTATTACTATTATCACAGACTTAGATAACAGGGATTGGCAACACCACTCTCGTCTAGCGTATGTATTGTCCACCTCTTGTATTTGTGCAACGAACCGTGACGACTTGTAACCCTCTAGCTGGAGCCAATTTACCTGTACTGCGCTAGCGTGTGACCCAACAGACAAGTTTCCGGTATCGATAACCACGTTGTTTACCTAGGTGATGAGAGACCGATAATGTGACACTGATTTAACAGATCAGTACAAAGTGTAACAACCATGACTAAAACAATAGAAAACGAATGCATACACGTGATGATGTCGCAAACATATCTGTTCATGTCAAGCAGCATCAGCCTCAGGTAAGTATCTGATCGGATGATACATCATTGTCAAATATGACTGGCTTTTTATCCCGTGATAGTTATTTAGATTTAGACTTTTTAATGAAATAATTTACATATAGTGAACGTAAAACTTAATATTTCGGAGGTGATAAAAGACGTCTTTGGATATAGGCAGCTAGCTATATTTCCAGGGCATACACAGCACGCTAGAAGCACAGGGGTTCGTTACAAATGTAATACACATGTACATATACTATACTGATATAGGTCACAGCACATGTATGTTTATGTAGACCGTGACCTATATCAGTATCAAAACGTTATGTGTATTTTGTAACGAAACCCCTGTGGGGGAAGTGACTTAAAGGGTTAACTTTTAACAATAACTTTGTCCTATTACATCATTTTAAATTTAAACCATTTATAAGAAAAATAATCTAATTCCGTGCTATTATTCATTATTGACAGAACTTCACTGTAAAAGTTTTGCCCTCGTATAGTGATTTTTCTTTCGTCAACTCTGTCAGGTTCTGTCTTGACTTAACTTCAGCTGGCTACAGGTCAATGAATGACAACACGTTTTATAAAGTTCTACAATTTATTATGTACCAAACGAAACAGTGAAGTAAATTAGATGAAACATGATGAATAGATATGCACAATGCTACAGCACGTCAACCACTAAACCGGTCCATACTATAACAGTATACCGTGTAACATATATATATGTCCTCTCAAAAATGTCCACCCTGTATCCCACCTTGGAAAATAAGTTTAAACACACCCCGATAATATATTACAACATGTCTACAACGGGAAAATAACCATCCTAAATTAACACCGAGATAATTCTACCCAAACATGCCTACAATGGGAAAATACCACCCAGCCCGGAATAATTTTGAGGTCTAAGGCCGAAATACACTCCTACAAACCTGCCCATAAGAAGGGTAAAGACGAGCCGGCCATCTACATGTAAGCCTCTGCCAGACTGATTTACAATACCAAAAACACCCAGCTATATAGTCAAATTTAATTGTATTCCTTGAAATGCACGTGCCATGTAGTATTTGAAATACACATGCCATGTAGTATTTGCACTCGATACTGACCCATACCTGAGCGTAGAGTGCTGTACAGGATAGGTAACATATCCTAAAAATATTAACCAATCAGAAACGTCTAAATAATATACCAGAAGGGAATCCCCAACGGGAATACCCCAGGTACACCCATTCCTTACACGAAACGTAAATACAGAAATATATGCAACAAGTAAGTGTTCAAAACCCAATCCTTTTACATTTATATATATATTTACACGAAACATAAATATGGAAATATATACAACAAGTGTTGAAAACCCAATCCTTTTACACATATATATATATAAATGCACCTGTATCATTGTCCGTTTACTCTACACATACATGTGAGATAGATAGATGTATACATTCTTTTGATGTCAGAAGTAGTAATTCCTTGCATTTATTTGAAGGTACACATGGTTTTACATTTAATGAGGAAAATGTTGATGTGGAAAGAGATGACGAAGTCGATCAACCTCGTACAGTTGCCATAGAATGTGATGTACCATTTGAGGAACTGAAGAATGGAGAGTTTAACTTGATATATTCTCACCCTGAAGCCTTAATGAAAACCAAATTTTCCAGACTTCTGCGATCCAAATTGTATCAAGATCTTGTCTGCGCAATAGTTATTGATGAAGTCCATATGGTTTCAGAGTGGTAAGTTTTATGAAGTACACATATGTATATAACTAAGTCTTTGTACTTAATTTTTACCACAATGATACATTATATAATGAAATGAGAACAATATATACCAGGGTATATATATATATTCTAACAACAACACAAGTTTTTGCTATGTACGAGGGTTCGATTCCCTCCCTAGGCAATATTGAATTTAAAGCTGGTGCAAAGTGGGCAGATTGCCTAGTGGCCCCACATAGCCTGAGGAGTACACTTTTTTTAAAATACTTATTAAAATAATTTAAAGCTATTTTTGTATGTTCACTTTAGAAGGCCTGGGGATGGATATTCAAATGTATTTGGAAGATCCAAGGTGGTAGGTTTCTGGTTTTAACAAATTTTATTGTATTTACAAAAGGATTAGACAACAGGCAGTGCCTATAATAGTCTTCTCCTGAAACGGTACAACATATATATATTTACAAAGAATAATTAAGATATATTTACAAAATTATCGATAATTAATTACATATTGAAATAGATGGACATTTATATGGAAAATATGTATAAATGTTTGAATTAATGATATGGCTGAATGTTTAAACTACACACACTAATAACAAGGCTAACACCTCTACCAGTGGCGTAGATGACTAGTTCATTTTCGATGTTATGGAACAAGTACAAGTTCTGCGTCACTGGCAACATACATACTTCTAAACACACACCCACACACACACATACACACATTCACAGAGCATATTGATATAACTAACAAGAGGCCCATGGGCCTTAACAGTCACCTGATATATTTATACAGAGAGTTGATTTTGTTTTTAACATGATTCAAAGTGACAAAAAAACAATAAAACCACCTTATTCAATATCTAGCATACAGATTTCAGACTAAAAAGGATTTGAAACTAGCAGCTCTGATTCTAAACAAGGAAAATGAAGAAATATTACCACAATGACTCCTTTGAGCCCCACCCACAGCCCTTGGGGGTAGGGCTGGCTCAAAATTTTCAAAGTATCAAACTGTCAATTCAAGGTTATAATTCCAATCAAGTTATTAACATGTAATATTCAAAGTATCATTTGCAATTATAAACCATAATAAATTTTGCCCCCCTCCTCCTTCCCCAGGGGGTAAACGTGAGACCCTAGGGTCATTAACCTTAAGACCCTTCCATCTATGAAGAGTAATTGATTCTACCATATCTTGGTTTTGAGAAGAATTTTTGAAATTTCAGTCAATTCAACCCTTTTTGGCCCCCACCCGATGTAACGGTAATGGGAGCTACATGTACTATCAGTCATTTAATTTTAATATGTGATGTGAGTATTTATCGGACTTCTATCGTGAAAACTCGATGTTGTGTTTAATAGTTTAATATGTAGACAGCATGGGCAAGTCATTCATGTGAGACATGCAATGGGTCGATCACACCCTGTAATATATCATGACACAATCGACGGCTAAGTGTGCGCCACCATTTGGATGAGACAAAAAGACTGGTTAGATCCTTTGGGGAACATCAACATAATCTTGCGGCCCCTTAACGGTAAAATTGGCTTGCTTTGAATTCGGGTGTCATTCTTCTGTAACCTTCAAAGAATAGGTATCAGCCCAGCGATTGATTAGGTTTTTTCCTTAGACCAATCAAATAGTTAGCCGCATGCCTTCAACTTTGCCATGACATATTGATGAGCCTTACTCCTTGAGTATTGAGGATGAAATAAACGTTATCGATAATTTTACCTTGAGACAATTACATTGTAATCTGAAAAAGTCAGCATGATTACAAATTATCAATAGTGTTTTTTGTTTTTGTTTTGTTTTGTCGTTCTTCTATACTAATGGTCATTGATTGAACTTCAACGAAAAAATCACATTTGAACATTTAAAAATTGCGATATACAAGAGGCACCCATATACGTACCAACATTTTTATTTTTGAACCACACTCATCTAATTCTAAATGTTACTGTAATATAATTACTTATCATTGAACATCTGTTCTCTATGGAACTGTGCAGCTATCTGTAACTTAAATGGACTCTCAAAAACTAACTCAGAAATCATGTTATTAATATGTTTAACCAACTACATGTACTATTGTAACTTTTATAATTGAGCTGACAGCAGAGGAAATTATACAATTTCCTACAGTCAGAATAAATCGGTGTATCTGTTTATCTGTGTATTTAGATTATTATTTCAAATGCAAATAGGATGGATTCAAACAAATATAACGCTAAAAAGGTCTTCACCCTTTGTCACCTCCATTTTAGTTTTCGGGCTTAGCCCTTCATCATGTTTTCAAATGGATTTGACATATAGGTGAGGAGCATGCGCAATTCATGATGGAGCCCGAAAGCTTAGACCTTCAGTGACTGTTAATACATGATTTTTTCTTGCAGACACATTGTTAATAGACACACAGCCTACAGTATACATGTATCTATCATAACAACTTACTTACATACATAAAGCTGGTACAAAACTATTTCCTTTGCGAACAAGTACAAAACATAAAGATTAAAACACAATCTTCAATTAACAATTTAACCGACCAGTGTGCGTCACACATATCACGGACTGACGTTCATCAGTGTGTTCAATTAACGCCATTTACCAGGTTCGTGTACTACATGGTATTGACAAGGAAATATACTGACCTTAAACGGATGTTTTATCTCGTCAGTCCTTCACCAGTATCCTTTAGTCATCACTGGTATACATAACTGTAGGTATAGATGCAGTATCCGTCAGTCGTCCCTGGCACACATAACTGGAGGTATAGATGCAGCGTGCGTCAGCTGACGCATTTTAATATTGTCCCCGACTTCTCTTATTTATGCAGAAAGCATTTAATATACTAAATTTATTAACTGTCGTCACATTATGTCAGTCCAACAAATTAAAATAACGACAAGTACAGCTGGCAGACATGTTACCTACAGTGTTCAGGCTTTAAATGGTCCACAAATCTATATCAAACTTGCAGATACCACCTAGCTCTACATAATCAATTTCCGTTGGTCAACAGAGCTGTGCTTGCTTCAGAAAGCATCGATCGTGTTCACGGATTTCCATAAAATATTAACTGTTCATTGGTTTTAGTCTAGGAATTATTCACTAAAATATTTTACAGCCATAGTTAACATTGTTAACGATATCTAAATGATACTGTAAAGCTAACCAGGGTTAAGGTAATTGTATCCGGATGATCAGCTTGACAAGATCCGCTCTGCTGTGTATATGGTTGTATTTTTAAACAGTAAGTGGTTTGTGTACAGAATAATGTGTAGTTATAAATGATCTTCATGGGAGAGTCATATGTATGACAATCACAAGTATCAAAAAAATATTGGACGTATATGCATAAATACTATAGCTTTAGGAATACCTCACTGTATGTGTATATACATACAGTGTATAAATAAATTAACACCGCATGATCGATATTTCATCAATAGGAAAAAACGGTCAATGAACTTTACCATCTGTAACTAAATTACAGATGGTAAAGTTCATTGACCGTTTTTGCCTATTGATTCCATCTCTTGCTCGGCCTTTGCAGGGTAATTGTGCTGAAAGATGATTGACTTTTAACTTGTCTTGATAATAGACATGCTAAAAGTATTCATGAAGTAGGCTGTTGAACGCAAAATTGTTATGAAAGACAGGATCTTACCAGGGGAATTGAAACATGTTTTGAAGAGTAACGTGGCTAGAACTGATATACTATAATTGAAAATATAGCTATTATATAAAACCAATAGTCCCCTCGGCTAAAGACAGCCGAAGACAGCAATTAAGCTGAGAGCATCGCGGACAAGGAACGCTGATAGTCTAAATATCAGAACGCTCGCTGGCTCTGCTCTATAGCGAAACCGCACTAAGACGACTCGCCCAATGAAACACAACGACGACCCGCCAAACGATGACCAAAATCGGAGAAGAATCCCTCTAGAAAACTCTTTAACTACTAAATATATGTAGAGGGCCTATTCTTGCGCAAGATGCCCTATCACATAAAGTGAGTCAACGAGAGATAAGCACCAGAAAGAAGGGACGAGATATCAAAAACGTGGAACATGTGCACGTGGGAATCTGGCCCGGTAAATGTGAAAAATCTCAATTTCCTACGGACTGCCCACATTAGTCGCCTCTCAATGCTGCAGTGGATATATCAGTCACAGCAGGGGGTCCACACTTGGTCGCCTCTTTCGGTTTGCAGGAATAATGCACGTAATTATCAAATAAGTGAGTGCAGGAGGAATAAGTAGATGAAATGGCCAAGATACTGTATAAATCTGCAAAATTAATCTGACAACGGCTGTTGGTCACACACACTGACATGCAGCAGCAGGCAGGCGAGATAGCAGACCAACTGTGCAGTAATGCACCATTAGGTCAAATGCCCCCTGGAAGGAAAACGAGCGGATGGCAACCGCCTATCGTTCGTTCATACCTCGAAGGTAGCGGGTTTGTAGATTGGTGATCCAAAACCATTCTCTCGTACGTCGTCTCGTTTCTTCCCATGTAGGGCAATGATCTATGGCAACCACATGCATGTCTTTCCAAGATATTAAAATGCCTTGCCACAGGGAAGTGTGGTTTGTTCTGCTTGATGGAGCAGCGGTGGTTGTTAATTCTGATATTGAGCTGGGTGCAGGTCTCGTCCACGTACTGTTGCATTTTTTGCAGGTAATAAGGTACACCACATTAACTGATGTGCATGTCAGTGTTTGTAGTATGTGATACACTTTGCAGTTGATTGTACATAGAAATGTATCTGTGGAGCGCGTGTATGGACACAGTTTGCACACCTTCTTGTAACATGTATTGAAAGAGCCTTTCGCCGCAGCAGGGTTAGGTGTAGGTAGCTTGCTGCTTACCACAAGATCTCTAATGTTTTTAGGTCTACGATATGCCAGTATATGAGACCCTGGAAAGATCTGCCTAAGTTTCGCTGAGAATAAACAATTGTATATATATATATATTTTATCGTTCTCCTTGTTTGCTACACAATTTGAATGCAGTTAATTGTGAAACTAAAGGTGTTGACAAAAGAAAGATCATTTTTCTTGCCCTTAAATAATGATACACTATGAAAATGATACTGCGTTGAATCACTGAAGCGTTCCATGGAGTGAAACATAATAGCTATAGCTTCTTCTTGTTACACGTACATGAGAAAACGCGTACCTTAACCACCCGCCCTAAACGTTAACTCCTTGCATTGGCTACCAGTGAAATATCGCTCTAGGTATAAACTTCTCATTTATAGTGTGCGATTCTTTACACTAGCCACATAGCAAGCCATACTCATTATACAAAAGGCAAATGACCTCTGGCCCTTGTTTACATAACTCTTTATCAACGTATCATTTCTGGACATGTGATAAGTTACATGTAGTTGCTTTTTAAATATTTGTGTCATACTCAGGAACAGTTCTCTTATAGTGTTGTCTGGAGAGGTACCTCCCCAGACAACATTATAAGAGAACATTTTTTTTTGTATAATAAGTAATTATATAAGTTTGCAAGTAATTTATTTTTTGTCACCTATACTTTCTTTTTGTTGTCCTAAATGTGTTGCATTGACACTCGGAATTTTATTGATTCATGTAACTGGCATTTTTGTTAGTTTTAGTATTATTGTTAGAAAATTACTCATTTTTGTGTGTGTTTTTTTCATTAATATTGACATTGTTATTATTTTGTATGCGTTATATTTCTAATAAACCATTGTTGCATCAAATAAAATGTATTTTGTTTCATTTTGTTCCATTGAAAAAAGAAATTAAAAAATTGAAATTTCATAATATCCAAAAAATCTGAAGAAACTACCGCAAGGTTTGGGTTATTGTTCAGAAATGATTTGGTTATGTAATAGCGATGCCGTAGAAAAAAAACGAATGCCTCATTACATTTTTAGGCGGAGGGACGGGAATCCTTAAGGCCTTTGACATTCTGCTACCCCTAGCCCTCCACCACAGAGTCGCGGGTTCGAGACCTACGTGGGGCAGTCGCCAGGTACTGGCCGTAGGTCGGTGGTTTTTCTCCGGGAACTCCGTTTTTCCTCCACCAACAAAACCTGACACGTCATTAAATGACCATTGCTGTTAATAGGACGTAAAACGCAAACAAACGAAACCAAATCTCCAATCCAAGACACGTCACGTTCTCAAAGTGAGAACCAGTAACCACAAAACCACAAAATAGTATGTTCATCAGCCAAATGTACAGAACTACGACTAACGATAAAAAATCTTAAAGTTGATGTATCTTATATCAGATTTTGTTGGTGGTTGTGGGAATTTTCAACGTTATATTCATAGAAAAGAAAGGTTAAATGATAACATCTAATGATATTTCTAAGAGAGCTTAAATATAAAACTGTAAGAGAGTTTGTTGATACTAGGATAGGAGGGCGGATCTAGTAATTGGGAAGAAGGATAGTTTGTGACACATGTTATTCGGTAGAGAGGGGTTTAATGGAAGAGAGAGTGTGAAAGATATTTATCTTTGTAGATAGCAACGATCAGAGACTATACATGATTTGATAAACCATGCTATGTATATGAAGGCCAATTTGAGACCGTGCTGATCGGTGTCATGCAAGTATGTGTTTTTTGAAATATTCAAAACAGTGACCGTAGAGATGATAAAGAATTGAACTTTTGGTGATGGATATATTCCGAGGGGACATGGCATTTCGGGCAGTGGCGGACCCAGGGGGGCTGCCCTAGTTGCCCGGGCAACACCCTTTTTTCTGTGTCCAAAAATAATCTGGACTTAGGTTTTTGAATATTTTCCTCTTTTTCATATGGGATTTTCTTCTAATATCAACCATCCTGTGAACTATGATTTTCTATGGCAGGCAGCAGTTTGAATATCTATATATGCCCAAACAAGGAGTCCACTACTTATACTCTAAACAATAGGGGATTAATCCTCTTCTGTTTATATATTAGTAGGGTCTCCAGTCAGGTCAGTGGTTATCAGTTCAGTTTTTATTACCTTGAACCTTACGGCTCATCAGTTCAAAATAAACATTTATACAAGGATAAACAATACAATCACTCACACCCATATACACACCCACAAATACACCCACATCCACAAATACACACTCACATATCCATTGGTATATAGTGTAGAGAGACATCCCTCTTCATAAAGGTACTTAGTCTTTTCTTTTCTTATTACTCAGTTTAATAAATTTGGCTAAATTTGTTCACTGTTTTTTGTTCCCTGTTTCCATTAGTTGGATAAATGTATACATGCTAGGTCTTTCATAGTAATATTTCTTAATAAAACGCTTTCTTAAATCTAAAAAACATTCACATTTTAATATAAAATGAAATTCAACTTCGATACCCCCACTGTTGCAGTATGCACATGTTCTTTCAATCCTATCTACATTGTTATACCTACCAATTTCAATATTTAATTTCTGAGATGACAGCCTAATTTTTGTAATTTCTTTCAGATTTGCATTCCTAATAGTTCGTTTCTTACTACATTCACCCATTCACTACCATTTTCTAACATTTCTTGATTACATGCATGTAAAACACAATTGTCAGTTTGTTTCAATTTTAACCAGTATTTAAAAATTCTAAATTTCCTAATTATTTCCAAAGGCAATCTTCCTAATTCTTGGTAAACCGGAAGTAGATTTCTTAACCCCTAATAATCTTTTACAATTACTTAAATGTATTTTCTCTATATCTGGTGCTTTATGAAAGCCCCAAACTTCCGCTCCATAGTTAAAAATACTAGACATATGTATCGAAAACATGAAGCCGAGTTTCAACGTTAAAATATTTTTTCTTAAACACGTTTGATACTGAAAACAATGCTTTTCTTCCTTGTTCAGACATTTTGTTGTTGAGTGATGAAGGCTCAACGGACTGTCTACCTAATCGTATTGTTCTAATGTCACGGTGAGGTGATCACCCTGTCCGAAACGTTGAGAGAGGATAAAACCATCTGTTGGAATTAGGTATATATATATATATGTTAATTGTTATTTCAAAGGTAGAGTCCATTTCATGTAGATAAACCTGTATTTTCACCTGTGGTTTCATGTACACATGATCACAAGGAGTGATTTATTATACCTGTTAAAAAAATGTAAATTTCAAAAATGTCAAAGACAATAAAGCATCCACCTTAGCATCACGTTATCAGGTGAATGATAACCAGTGTTAGCATAAAAGCCTGGCATGTATATCCTTTTAAACAGGTGTTGCCCTTGTACATATGCATGCATATACAAATTCACAATAAAAGACAAACAGTCAAATCATAATTTATATTTATGACAAAATAAATCAATAATTAATCGCCAAAATGCTTGCCTAAACTACATGCACATGAAAGGCATGACACAAACATCAACATTTTAACCAAAAACCTACATTTTTACCATTGTTTCAGAGAATTTGTTAACACTCGTTCCGCTCGGCCATCATGAAATATAAATACTCTATGTTATAAAATATAACCTGGAATAATACCGCAAACTCAGAAAACTATTCTATGCCTCACTCGATCTGTTTGACAATGGAAAAAATGTCCGATAAATTCTAGCTTTCACAAGTTTAGTATTACATCTTCAGAAAAAAAAATCTGAAATAAAATTCTGAAATTCTATATATCGTTTGGTGCCAGAAAGTAGTATACATGTACAACCGACATGATAATTATAATTATCACTTTTTTTGAGTCTTCCTGAGTTAAAAATTTGGGCAACACCCAAAATTAAATCTCCTGCCCCACCCCCCACCCTGTCGAGAAGGATGTGATGTATACTTCGTCTCCAAGGCTACCGGCATACTTAGGTTCGACTTAAGGAATGCTGCTTTGTTGTCGAAATTGACCGTGATGTAGACATTATTATCATCGATAGTCCATAATAGGGGGATAGATAACAGGATAGCATGTCCGATATGTCGTTAATGTATCGCAAAAGCTGACCCGAGTACCGATCCCTGGGGTCATTGGTTTGATTCTTTGAGGACCCGGGGATCTGGAAGGCTTGATGTTAAATAGGAAGAACTTCTTGACACCCCTGCAGTGATGGTGATGAAAAATGTGTTGTATTCTGAATGTGTTCATTAGTTAACACAGACTATAGCTGTTTGTGTAAATTTTCTACCTTTATTGAGGGAACAGTAATTATAAACAACTGATCAAGATCATCGTCTTCAAGTGATGCCCACCTGGTTGTAATATTTTTTCTTGTTTTTCCGAAAAAAATTCTTGTTCGGAGAACCATCTTGAGCAAGAATAGAGGAAAATAGTAAGAGAAATCTTCAAAATACTTCAGATACGTTGTAAATCACTTTTGGACGTGTCTAGTGCGGATTCATTTGAAATGCCTGGTGCGATTTGTATGCATTGGGAAAAAAAGGTGAGTTTGTGAAGGCGTGACCGAGAAGGCTATTGTCTTTTGAAGAATAAGTAACTGTCAAGGTAAGCCTGTATCGATAATATCGTCGTAGAGTTTTGTGAAATCATAGCGAATAGAAGGGTGAACGCAGTTTGGTTGAAGTTGCAGGGTTGTCCAGTCTTAATCTGGAGGATTAAGCTCGTCTACAATTACATTGTAGTAAGACAACATCGTGATTTAGGTTGTGTGTCTAATGAATAATGATTGATGTCAAATCCTTGAAAACTTGCTTATCTCTTGTTAAGGTTGTTATTAGAAATAACGGTATAGGGATGTTTTGCCTGTGGTGTTTCTTAGATAGAACAATAGAGTTTCGGAGAAGGATGGGGAGGGGGTAGGTCTGCATCGCAAATGTTAAGTTTTAGCAATGGTTCCATGTCAATAATGAAGATGTTGCACAGGAGATGTTACTTATTTCTAAGTTTGTAGGTGACGGAGCTGTTGGCTGCTAGTACAATTTACACGTATAACACAGTGCTAGCTTACCGTACTGTAATTTACGTTATCCCAAGATTTGTCCCGTGCCGAAAAGATCAAGCAACTGACTTGGGTTGCAGCATGGAATCCGTGCCCGTGGTTGTAATGTAGTAACGATTTCTCTATCACCTGATGAGGGTTTACATTAAACTAGTGAAGTAGCTGCTAGTAAAAAGATGGACATATGGCAGTTATTGGAGAACCCATAGCTCATTTAAATGTTTCATCAATATAGTAACGCGATTAGGCTCAAAACAGGGTTGCTACAATGTTCGGGCTTGAAGATTTCATGTTTGCAGCATTCTCTTAATCCATCCAATGATGTTAAGTAGAAATTTAGTTGAAAACTGTCGGTTCTGAAGGAGTTGTCATTTCAGTATTACTGTCGTGTAATTGCCGTATTGGGGCCAGACTCTCTGCCATTGGATGGGTACAACCTTCGTTTATTTCCCTAGTATTCTAGTGGTGCACTCTTTTTAGGCAAAACTAAGAGAATTGCCCTTTGTCACGGCCAGCTCTTAAAGTTGACCCTCGACCCCAACAAAATAGATTACATAATATGCACATGGTTATCCTTCATAACTTACTGATCTAGACCTTTTTTTCAGATGTTAGAAATGATAACAGTTTTGATCCGGTCATCGACAAGGTTAAGGTTATTCATTGGAACAACTTTGGTGGCCCTCCATCAACGTGTCAAATACCATGACCCTAGGCCTTCTGAACCTTAAAAAGTCATTTAAAGATTTCAACATGTTTCACCCCTGTGACTTTTAATGAAAGTTTCGACCCCTTTGACCTTCAACAAAACTTTGTCATTTATTGGAATATCTCTGATAGCCAGCCATCCAAGTTATCTACTGGAAAACATAGTACGACCATTGGGCTTTTAAAACTCATGTCACTTGATTTCAACATAATTGACCAATATAATCCTGAATAAAGGTCAAGGTTATATTTTTGATGTTAATTGATAGTCGAGCATCTCCACTACATACTGGTCAAATATTATGACCCTGACGCTTTTGGAACTTGAGAAGAATTCATTTGAAGATGTTATCATGTTTGGGTCATGTGACCTTGAACAACCTTGAATGTCTACCATACCTGCTAACTGCACAATGATCCAAGGTATTATGATCTTGAGATGTCTGAAAAAGGCAATCGTTGACAGAAGATGATGAAAGTGTGTTTCCTGGGTAGTATATTTGTCATACTGATTGTTAGACAGTTAAACTACAGGAGACCTGATCACAAACAATAAACAGATCTGTGTAGAATTGGTGTATTTTAATGACTACTGAATACACTGACATGTTTATGAATGACCAACAGACAACTTTTATCACAATCCATATCACCCTCCTACCAGACAACCATGCAGTCATCATTGCTGTATATCAGATGTGCGATACATACATATACATATGTACATCAACTTTAGAAAAAAATCCCTGGTTACCTACCATTACTGTACTCTAACAGAAAACGTGTTTCATGATGCGATTACAAATCCACTGCATAGCCAGGATGTGTTAAAACACGACTGCAAATGGTCTTTTCCAGTCTGAATTTATTGCAGCGTCTTACTGTCTTATCAGATTAAATTTCAAATATAAATCAAAGAGTACAGAGAGTACAAAATTTCCAAATCTTGACATGGTTTTATTTTTTGTTGTTCTGTCTAATGACATGGTCCTGAGTTTATCTTCTGGAAAAATATTCTCTAACATATCAATTTATAATTACAGAAGATTGAATAATAATCAGAGAAGCTTTTGGTTCACTGATTTTTAACTAATGAGTTGAAAACCGGAAAAGCTTCACTCTCAAAATATCAATTCAAATTATTGTTTTTAAGGTTAATGACCAAGCCTCTTACAGTTAAGAGTTCTCAAGTAACCTAGTACATGTACAAGGCACAGAGGCCGAAAACAGTGTTATCTGAAAGGTCTATTCAGCTTTTTTTTAACCTTCAAGTCTTTTACAGCGACACATGATATAGGAACCAATAAATATAATCATTTCAGTCTAACTGTACCATACTTGCATGTCATACAACACATCATACATACAACAGTCTCGTACACATCAAGCAATTATTAACTTATTCAGTTGTTTCCCCAACAATGATTGCAGTTAACACCATAGCACAAATTCAGTACCAGTTTCGCCCATACCACAAACAGTAAATATTTCATGTAACGTTTTTACTGAAAAAGTAACAGGGTATTTTGTTCCAACATATACTTAAGGTTACCTTACTTTCTGATGTTACAAGTCATTCCTCTTATATCCAACAACATCAATCCATGTTAAGCTTGTTAAAGCACCTGGATGAATTTTGGGGAACTGCAAACCTTTCTAAATCTTATGATCATTTTTCACAATTTTGTTTCTATTTTGCTTGGGGTTTAACGTACACGTTCTTGCAATAATCAAAGTTAGATCAAAACAGGTACCTAGGGATCACGGACAATGCCGAAACAATGAGAAGGTGTTAATGGTGTAAATGTATTCTGTACACTGCTTATACTGACGATGATAAAAATTCAAGATTTTCCTGCATTTTTTATCTTTACAAAAAGTGCTGAAACATCCTGTTTTCAGATACCAAAACTACTTGGTACTTATAAGCCTCTAGAAATCGACAAGAAGGAATGTTTCACCTACCGATATAACTGTCATGGGCTACATACATGTCTTAGCAGGCACAATCAAGGATCCAATTACAAACTTTAACTGCGCAGATATCTTTTAACAATGTTGATGACCAATGCACAACATGAATGCTTTACACACTGTATTAAAAATACAAGTACATGTAAAATTGTTCTGTCAAATTTATCCCAGATGGAGCCAATAGACATATATTAGTTGGATTAAACATTGAACATTTGACATTCTAATCAGGTTGTCACATTATCCCATAATAGGGGTGTAAATTGTTTTTCTGGAGGCCCAGTCTGATCTGCAGGCAGATTTTCAATATTCCACTATAAAACCTAAATTTTCATATAGTAAATTATACTAAATATTGATATACTTTCATTGGACTTGACACAATTTAATAGCCCTGGCACCACACTGGTGTGTACACCCACATCTCTTCTTCACTTTATCAATAATGCATGGAATCTTTTCTTCACTTTATCAATAATGCATGGACTTATCTGACAAGAAATGTAATGACTTAGCTATGGCTTTCAAACTTTGGAACATCATGTTGGTTTGTACACTCCCACAAGAGCTGGTCTGATAGTTCTAGACTGGAGTTTGTACCCCTTTTTTGTGATAACTGCTATTGTAGCTTCAGCATCCTTGTCAGGGGTAGGTACTTCAAACATAGCCTCGTGGACAAATGGATCAAACTTTTCACCTTCAGACGGGGCAATTTGTTCAAGTCCGTGTTTGTTAAACACCTTTAATAACTGTGATTCCGTCATAGTAAGTCCTTGAAACAAGTTCTTTAAATGAATATTTTCTTCTTTCAGCTCCTCTTTTGGTACACTTTCTGTGGCCTTCCCCAAAATGTCAGCAACTTCCAGCAAATCTTTACAAAACCCCTGGATTCCAAAGATCTTAGCATCATCTACTTGGTTCTTCATCCTTCGTCGCACATTCTCTGTCTCTGCTAAAGCCCTCATGTATTTATCCTGCAATATAAAATCATGTTATTATTTTCTGCAAGTAGCAAAGATCTAGACATTCTGGTCAAAAGACTGAGACAAATCTGAAGTTGAGACAATCTCAGACTGCTTCTACAATCTTTTGAGAATGACATACCTAGGTAATTGTACATTTAACTGTACGAATGACTTTCATCTTAGTGTTAAGTAAATAAGTAATGCATATGGAAATTGTATCACATTGTGACAATATGTTGGAAACAGGACAGGGCATCATCACCCTAAGTGAGATATTTCTTTTTATCGCACAATTTATTTTTTGTATTTTTATGACACATGACAACTTATTTGTTTATCTCTTACATGGCAATAAATAGCTATATAAGGCAAAAATACACTAAAATGTGCAAGTTATTTGTTTCAAGAATTGACTGGAGATCTAACACTACAAGGGAGGTAACTTTGAATTGGTTTCAGACAGCATGTTTTCAGGATCCCAGCTGTTGCCACACTATTCTCTGGCTTTTTGTGTCTAAAGTAACCTCCCTTTATTTAATTTTTGAAGATATAACTGTAGCAAATATTGGCCATTATAATTATGTTGACCAGGTAGCACAGTTGACAGAACAGTATAACCATTTGAGGTCCAGTGTTCAAATCCCAAGTCTAGCCCTGTTGAAGTTTTACATATTTCACCTATAATGCTTTTCTTAAAAAAAAGTCTCACAGGGTATATATGGTTTTCTCTTCAGAAATAATTGATTAATATATCTCTTAACTCATAAACAATGATTCATAATTTAGGAATGGAAGTCGGAAAACCATGTTTGGAATTATAATACATCATCTATTTCAGGTTTGTACAAAATGACTTCCAGTTCTCCTGCGAATACACAAAATATGTGTTTCTGGTATTAAACAGCTGTGGAAAAAGATAGGAACGCACATCTTTTAAATTTCTACAATAATCAACAATATACAATACACCTGTGTCCCGATTTCTTTTTCCAGAGACTTATTTATTTAAATTGTACAATAAATAATCAGTGGTTATCATATGGCTATTTTGATATCATATACTGTATTATCTAGAGTGATAATATATGATATCAAAATGGTTACATATCATAACCATTTTATCACACATTTTGTTTTTTGCAACTTCAAGAAACTACAAAGAACAGATATCATCTCAGGTAGATAAATAGTTATCAGTCCAGGTTGGAGGGGAATATCTGCTAAACAGCTCAGACACTAATATGAGAGCACTAACATTTTTTTCACAACATATTTGAAATGTTGTGATTTAAGACAAAAGTGTGACAATTAATTATATTGTACATATACCTGCGGTACATATTTCCGGCGAGAAAATGGCCACATGTACAGTCTTTGAACATAAGATGGAAGCCTCATTTCTCTAGGCCAAACGTGTCTTCTAAGTCTATGAAATAACCCGGGTACCTTAATGTCCTTCATAGTTTCCTCCAACTTTGCCTTTTCTTTCTGAAGTGTAATTTCAGCTTCAGATGGACCTGAAGCTTTCTGATCCGGCTTTGTCTCAAGTTTCTCTTCTGACTTTTCCTTGGGTTCAGGTGGAGTCGATCCATTATTATTGGTTTCTGTGGCTGTTGCTGAGAATTGTTTCAAATTTGATCTGCAAAACAAAATCATAAAAGTAAAACTTCACTTCTATTCAAATATTGAAACTTTTTTTATTTTTTCCTAATGATTGATCAGAAGTATCATTTAAATCATATAAGCCTTCAAAACAATTACCACAAAGAAATTGTCAATCTATTGTAGCATTTTATCTACCTTTGTCTAAGGCTGGGATGATATAAGTTGTATCTATCGACACATATGATATTGACTATTTAACAGGAATACATATACTGTATATGTATCTGTATACATATCATGATCACGAATTAATACATTATTTTGTATGTTTTCACATGGCATTTTGCAGAAAAATATTTATAATTAAAAGTAGCCCCCTTTTTACATTTTATGATAAAACTTCAATTTATTAAATATTATTCATAGAAGTTAAACATGAACGACTGAAAATAAAGAACTGGAAGAAACATTTTTTTATCATCTTTAATTATACTTATTATCTCTCTCTGATGGTTTATCTACTGCAAATTTAAAGTGTTAATACTTTACAATGGAAAAGAGTAACGACAAAATCTGTAAAAAAAAGACGATCACAGTTTTATCTCCGGCATACACCTTGTTTATCACATGTTAACATATATATGAGCCTATTGGGTTCTGCAGCACTGGCAAATCTTGCAATATAGTTTCCTCTGAGTTTCATCTGGTCTTGACATGTACACCGGAATATAATATTAAAGCATTTAAGACAATGTCTAATCTGAGCGATGCCATTTTGAAGATTATGCAAATTATACTACATGCATATACGTCATCAAGAAACTGGACTGATCTGGACCGAAAACAGAATAGATTATAATATTCTTATTTAAAGAATTCCGGACCGCCCCTTTTAGTTGATTATTCACTGCCATATATATGCCAACCTGGTACTAGATAACCCATTCTAGCCAAAGTCGCAGCAGATTTTGTTGTCAGCACCTCAAATCTTAGCACTACCAAACGATGTCGGAGTATTCAACGTTTTCATATATGTAGTAATACGGTACGCTCTGACCCCACACAAGACACCTTTCTGTCAAAATGACCAAGTCTGGTATCAGGGCCAAAGGAATATCTGGCTATCTATATAGGTAGATTTACCTTTATAGTGTAAAGGGCTGGAACGGTGATCCAGCACACTGAACGGTTAATTATGATTACTATCCGGTTTAGTAAATCTAGATATACGTACCCGATAAAAATGTCCCAAAATGTAGGTCAATGTTTATTGGGTTTCCCAGTCAGAAATGTTGTTCCTGACTGCTGGTTGACAGAACTCAAAAACGCTTTGTAATCAGTTTATATATATATATATATTTGCTATACCATTGAATGCATGTATACAATAGGCTAACATAATACCGACTGACATTTTGTTGAATAATATAACTTATCATTCACCGGCAGCTGTCCTCTGTGTTCCAACCGGAAGCTGTACATGTGATGCACAGAAATACATGTGCATAACGTTGAGGACACATGATTGAAAGCGAAACTCTACAGACATTTTCGAATCGGGAGGCTAGCGATATGTAGCCAATATAAACAGATTTTGAGAAATTGCAACATGTTGCAAGTAATTGGTATGGGTTATCTTTGTGTATATGCATTTAGTGAATTAAAGGGACATCACGGTGAGGTATATATATATATTTTCTTTTGACTTTTTTTTTGAAATAAAGCATGAATATATCAAGTGAGTATCCCCATGGAAACTAACGGTCGGATTTTGCCGATACATATTCATAAAACTGTGTAATAACTAATAGAAGAGGAGATTCTACGTGTCAGCTACGAAGTGAAAAAATGCCAAATGGTCAAAGAATAGCGCAAGGATTATTAAGCTTAATATTAGGCCATAATAAAATTTCTTAAATAAATTAATTGCTAGATTCTCATCCCCGCCCACCCTATCTTTGAGGCCACGCCCCAATTTTTTAATTTGCAAAAAAAAAACCATGAAAATACGAAATCCAGATTTTTCCCCCCCGTTTTCCACTTCAAAAATTAGTTTTATATTATCAACTTCCGGTCGTAGAAAACTTGTCGTCTGCAAGTATGGTTTTTGTAATTCTCAAGCTGAAATGTCAACTTGCCGTTCTTAAAGATTGGTATGGGTGTTCAGTAGCCGATACTAAAACATTAATGGAAGTCTTTCATGAATTAGCTGATGGAACGATTGACAAATCTGCGCCCGTCGAGTGTGGTAACAGGGTCGTTGTGTCGGCTGGTGGTTCTGATTTTGCTGATGTAGAAACCGAACAAGACAATGTGATAAAATCAGTGTTTGTAAGAAAAATCTGACATGTGATGGGCCAATTGAACTGGCCTATTTCTCTGGTGGTTTTAAAGCAGTATGCTTCCATTGTGGCACAGATGACAATGTGGCTAAATCTGATGAAAACTACCCCATATGCCAGAACTGTTTGGCTAATGGCAAGGTCACTGTAATTAAAAGAGGACGATATGTGAAAAAGTAATGTGGGGTGGTGTATTCATACCAACAGTTAGTACAGATATATATGTGTACTGAACAGTGAAATGGTGTTCAATGTGTATACTGCATACTCAAAGTTGTTATTAACAAAAAATAAAGACAAATGTACACTGAACATGCGCCTTTATTGCACTATTTAAACACATTTGCAACCATTTCAAATTCTAGGAAAAATAAAAAATAAAATTTGTCCCTCCGCCCCAATTTTGAAAAAAATTTGGATGAGAATCTAGCAATTAATTTATTATGGCCTTAATAAGCTCGCTAGTACATGTATGTATCTTTGTCTAAGGCCAAACAAAATTAATTACTTGGTTCTCAGGTTCTCTTTTCAAAAGAGATGCGGCAGCAGAGTTATTTTTTTCCCCATTTTACATGGCAAAAATGAGACGAGGACGATTTTTTTTTATTGTGTAGCAAGCCTCCAAAAATCCCCCATGATGTTCCAGACAAGAATCACGAACCACCCATTCCTTATTTGTACCGAAATGAGCGCCATTTGTACACAAGACTAATAAGTCATAATCTTTTTAACACTTGCCTGTATATCAATTTCCTTATCTTTATTCAAACATTTTCGGGGCCCTGTGTGACTAACGAGTAAAAAACGACATGCGGACCAATTTTCTGGATTTTTTCTTAAAGACGGCGGCTGACGCATTCACATTTTTTTTTTACTTTCAAGATAAAATCGGCAATGCAGTGCCCTAAAGTGAAATGCGCGGGCCCGAGAACCTAGTAATCAATTTTTTTTGGCCTAAGTTGGAACACGGATGAACTTATTTTTATTAATTTATGGGCATGTATCTGAAGAGTTTACTTTGCGTTTCTATATACAGTAGTTTATGCGAAAGGAAGGGATAAGTGACTGGTTAGTTTGATTTTGCTATGGGGCTCTCCAAGGGATAACTGCTGTGATGTTGTATAGTACCTCTATCTGTCTGTACTCGGGGTCACATGAGACACGTGCACAATTAGATTTACATAATCTTTAATATTCCCGGGTTCAGTAAAATGGTATGATTAAATTATATTGTTGAAGCAAACATTTATTTTTATTCACATGCAAGATTTAAAGATATATCAAAATGATGGCATCATGGTTCGAGATGAATAACTGAGGAAGGAGAACCTAATTATAGCACAGAATTAGATTGCTATTATAGCACAGAATTAGATTGCTATTATAGCACAGAATTAGATTGCTATCTAAGTCAGTGCTTTAATATAGTAATAACTTTTTTAATCCTAATGTTTCAACAGTTCAGGTTTTACATGATGTTGACTTAAAGTTAGAATGTATGATCATGCAACAACTTTTGTCTATAATTAATTTTCGACTTCAGATAGAATCGGAATACGTATTGAAAACGGGAAAAAAATCATTTGTTTACGTTGTAAAAATGGTGCATGCTACCGATAACTACGGCTTCTGTTTTGGACAAAAGGAACTGATTTATCTCAACATAAAAAGAGTCCATATACAATATGCTTAAATCTCTGTAAAGTAATAAAAACATATAATAATCAAGTATCTCAACACATATCCGACACATATTCTACATGTACACGTAGTGTTTTTTCCAGAAATGTTCATCTAATGTGATGGCTTATATATGACTCACTAAGTGTTAACGTATGAAAACAGTGAAAGTGGGAAAGAGATTTAGAGTATACATAAATATATATGTATATGTGTATTAGTGCTGGGAATCGGTCAAATATTTGAGATCGATAATCGGAACTCCATAAACGATCGATGATCGGTTCAAATGACCTACTCGTGTAACATAAGAGGCTGGCCGATTTATTATCTGATGTAATTGTGCCGACTGATGAGAAAATATTCGTTTCCGAAATCTAGGCGGAAGGAAGGATTCAATTATATCTCTGTTTTGACTCAAAACTTGATGACAACTTGGTGTACTCACAGTTTAGGTATTCATTACCCCCATTTGAATGCTCCAATCACTATAACATAGCATATTAATAATAATTTATCACGTAAAACACTCTGCTAGCTTCATTTTACTAGCTTTCAAATATGGCGATTTCGGTTGATACAAAATGCGGATATATGTATTCTTCGAAACGAATACACATGACGCAACGAAAAGCAATTCCGCTTTTTTACCATATACAATTCCATTTTTATATTAACCACCAAATTTATAATGTCGGTGCAGATATTGCGTCTGCTTCAAGTTAGAAAAGGATTACAATACAATTGAACATAATCGATCTTTCATCGGCAAAATCGATTATTGGATCGGACCCTTTTCAAACTCGATTTAATCGATGTTTCCGATTATCGGTACATCACTAATGTGTATGGTCTAGAAAAAAGTGGCTAAAGACATTGAGTTGTAATAAAAAAAATCACAAAACTTTCTCTTTTTTTTTTTTACACTTGTCAATGCATTTATATACCGGTATATACTTTATGAAAACATTTGAAAAAGGATAATCGTCTCGTAAATATTCCTTTGTACAGAAAGGTTTGTCCCATTGTTGAGGGAAGGTGTTGAGCCCCGTACCGGTCACATTCAGGTATTAGATATTTCCTGGTCTATAAATAACGCTGAGATGCAACCAATATTTCTTCAATTAAATTTTGGATATTGGCAAGTGTGCACATTAACTTCTGATGATGAATAATGACTGCCAAGGGGATTCAACAAGTTTCAACACAGACTTAGAAATCATATTCCTTGGTTTCATAGTGTGGTAAAGAAGATGCAGTTGCCTGGTGGCACCTCTCTAGGGGCCCCTTTGGAAACTTTGCATCTCGGTCAGACCACCTGTGTGTATTGCCTTAATTCTTTCAAAACCTTCACTTGACTTTTATGAAGCTATTTAATTTGTAAAAGGGCAATTCAAGTGGTCAAACTGGACATTTGGAACGGACTATGAATATGGGGATAGCAAGGTAACATAAGCGGAAGTGCATACAACACATACATTCTGATTCATTAAAAAAAAATGGCTGTTCATGTGATGTCCCTTCAAGTAATCATATTTTTATCAAAATAAAACGCCATTGGCGGCTCTATTTCATGGCACAAAAAACATAATTACCCGGTTTTGGTTCAGATAAACACACGATTATCCAACTGGCATCATTTCTAACTGTTGCAGCCCTGACATTCTGTAGTCCAAACTTACAATTACTACAAATTAAGACGAATGTAAACAAACTGTCATACCTGATAATGATCATCTTGTGGCGTATATATATGTGCACATACAAAAAACGGAGGACAAAACTGTTTTTTTTAGTGAAACAAATGTTTTTTTGTTTAATTGCTACTATAAAGCTAAATATATATAGCTACAATAATACCACAGGAGCCTGAAGTTCTGTCAATAATGAATAATAACAGTAATACCAAAAAATCAAGCATATTATAGGTATTTTTTTGTATTACTGTTATTATTCATTATTGAGAGAACATCAGGCTCCTGTGAATAATAAAGACAAGGTACTGTATAAATTTGATTGTCCTTTCAAAATGCCTGTCGCAGGAAAACGATTGCACCATATCCATAATCCGTGCACAGGGGCACGTTACAAATGTCTGAAATACACACATATGCTATTCTGATATGGGTCACAACACACATAAACAGACACAAGGGAAGAAGCTTCGTCAGAGCACTACCGGTACCGCCCAATGTCAAATGAAGATTTTCAACACTTACTTTTGTTATTTTTTTCAGCGATCTGCGGCGATAGCTTCTGTTTGAATTGTGATTAAATAATCCATCATGATCAATTGTGTAATCATTCGTCTAATACATCCAATCAAGCACTTTTTCGGGGAATTTGCATTTTTACCGCCATGATTACCTTGAACCTGACCCGGAAATGACGAGTGCTTTTCGACATGTCTTTATAACATACTGCCAAATACTAAGGAAAGTCCCAAGGACCCCCGAGTAGAGTCTAGTCCCGCAGCAAATAATTTTTGGCGCAATGTATAAAACATCATGTCTCGCATCGTTTCCTGGTACGTATTTTGCATTTTACGTTTAAAAGTTACCGTATCAAAAATATTGGACTCTGTTAATGTGAAATACATACTAGGACACGATGCCAGACATGATGTTTTAAACATTGCGCCAAAAATTATTTGCTGCGGGACTAGACTCTACTCGGGGGTCCTTGGGACTTTCCTTAGTATCTGGCAGTATGGTATAAAGACACGTCGAAAAGCCCTCGTCATTTCCGGGTCAGGTTCAAGGTAATCATGGCGGTAAAAATGCAAATTCCCCGAAAAAGTGCTTGATTGGATGTATTAGACGAATGATTACACAATTGATCATGATGGATTATTTAATCACAATTCAAACCGAAGCTATCGCCGCAGATCGCTGAAAAAAATAACAAAAGTAAGTGTTGAAGATCTTCATTTGAAATTTGGCGGTACCGGGAGTGCTCTGACGAAGCTTCTTCCCTTGTGTCTGTTTATGTGTGTTGTGACCCATATCAGTATAGCATATGTGTGTATTTCAGACATTTGTAACGTGCCCCTGTGATCCGTGCACGGAATTTCTGGATTGAAGGGATCTTCTGGTTTTACAAATTGCTCATAATGGTTGTCTTTCACCATGCATCAACCAGTGATCAATTTTCAATCTGACATTGAAGGGTCATACTTCAATAAATATATTATTTTGACATGTTCAATGTTGACACTAACCAAGCAGGCGATACTGGACGAAAATGTGTCAAAATGTCAAATAAAGAAATCGAATGACTTTGTGTCAAAATGCCATAATGTGAAAGTTAATGTGTAAACCAAAGTTATAAAATCGGCCTTATATAAATGCTGATGTAACCTTTGCCAAGCGATCATCATCACGTCATTGCGTTTGTAGTAAACTCTGGTTACAGAGGGAAGTTGGAATTAAAATCGAAATAAAATCTGATGTGATTAGCTATAAATGTATGATAGTCATATTTACCTAATAGGTGTTGTACGAAGAATATATGAACGGGTAATACTGGTCATTCGCCTCGCGGACCTCAAGCACATGCTACCTATCGTCGCCATTTTTCTTTTCTGATATGGCGTTCGGAAATTTCTAGAATCGTCAACAGAGAGAACAAAATTCAAGAGAGAGGCGAAGTTTTAGGTGTACTTGGGCGACGGTAACCGCGACAATAAACATTGCAATTTACGATACACTACAATACAATACAGTTTATTTAACGTCGGATATTTAAAAACATTTAACATTAGATATTAAAAGCTATTATTCCGACAAACGTAAGTAAAAGCATCAATTCAAGAAATTACATATATAAAACATTATGACACATTAACAGAAAATGTTAAGACATAGTCTCTATGCAACTGAAGTTATGTAGCTATATATATATATACATGCTTAACTGCTACCTTCGGCTGTATATAATAGCTATATTTTCAATTATAGTTTATCAATTCTATCTTCTTGTAATATGATGTATATGTACATGTAACTGTTCTGTTTCACTGTGTCTTGAAAAAGGAGCGGATCGCTTCGAAAAGTTGACAACCTAAACTTGTCCACACTGTTGGAATTACTTCTTTGCCCCATATATATACATGTATATATATAGCAGGACAATACTTTTACAATAAAATACACATTAGCATAAAACATTGAAGCAAAGCACATACAGATAAAAATAGACATTATGAGCTACAATTTCCACTGTCAACACTATATATATAAAACACATTTACACCATGTAAAACAAACGGAACATAGTAATAAGATGAATTAAATTAATAAAATAATAATAATAGCAAACATTCGCACAAATCCGCACAAATCCGAAGAAGCAGCATAAAACACACACATAATTAAACATGAAGCAAAGCGGACTAGCCACATGTACATTTACTACACACTGCGGCAGACATTACAAGAGCAAATGGGAGTCTCCGAAATTCATTGTACCTGTCTACTTTTCTGAGTTGATTGGGGAGACTGTTCCACACCCGGGCGGCCTCGTAGGAGAAAAATTTGAGAGTCCATACCTTGTAGTGTTGACCCTAGGTAATACACCTTTATTTCAATCATATCATGAATAAAACGTGGAGAGATTTTCTTAACTATTTTATATACTTCACATATCATGTGTCTTAAACGTCTTATGTGTAGTAAATCAAAGTTTGATTTTTGGCCTAAAAGTTCAAAGGAAGACGAAAAATCACTATATACAAAACGTAGTGATCTTTCTTGATTTTTTCTCTCTCCATTTTCCGTACACTTTTTACCGAACAGAAATGCCACACAAGAGGGCAATAATTAAAACTTGAAACAATGAAAGAGTTGTAAATAAGTTGTCTCCCTTCCCTAGACAAAAATGTACCTATCCTTTATAGTACAGATAATTGTCTGGAGGCTTTTTTTACAGAGCTCTGAGATGTGAAAGTCAAAGTTCAATAAGTAATCAAAATTTACACCTAGTAATTGGACATTTTTTTCACAATTAAGAGATACATCTCAATACCAAAAGATTTTATTTTATCAAATGTTCGTTTTCAAATGATGATTGCCTGAAACTTTTCAGGATTGGCTTTCCTATCATTTTTACTAAACCAATCAATAACATTAGTACAATCTTTTTCTAAAATTGATTTTAAGATAGTAGGATCCTTATGGGTGTAACCTATAGCATTGTCATCTGCATAGTTGTAAAGAGATGAATCTCCAACACAATCAAAATTATCATTTATAAATATGTTGAAAAGAAGGGGGCCCAGGATAGATCCCTGGGGAACTCCTTTAAGAATACCTGACCAGGTGCTGCAATTTGAAGCCAGTTTCACCTGCTGACACCTGCTGCACAGGTAGCTGGACATCAGGCTCACTGCCTGACTGTCTAACCCATATGCTTCCAGCTTCCTGAGCAGCAGATTGTGGGGGAGACAGTCAAAGGCCTTGGATAAGACCATAAGTATGGCAGCAGAACACTCATGGCGATCCAGGGCCGAGCGCCAATCCTCCACCAATCTCAACAGGGTCGTTTGGCATCCAAAACCTGGTCTGAAAGCACCTACAAATGGATGGAATATATTTTCAAAAAAATCAGAAAGTTGCCGACTAATAGCTTTTTTCATATAGTTTTGAGATATAAGGAAGGATGCTGACAGGCCTATAATTCTGCTTGTCAGTGTTATCTTTCTTTTTATAGATCGGCACAACCTGTGTTTTTGCTTTAATATACCTAGAAAAGAAGATGTAGCAATAATGTGGTTAACTAGAGTACATAGAGGCAAGCTAATATTGGAACAATAAGCCTTAAGTAACTTAGATGAGATGACATCTACTCCTGTCGCCTTCTTTACATTAGATTTAGAAATATTTTGACTAATAAAGTGTTCGGATACAGGTTTAAAAGAGAAAACAGAATTATTTGTAGTGTCCTGTATCCTGTCTAACATTTTGTTAGTACTTACATTATCCGTCCTAGTCCCTATATCCTGTGCTATATTTACAAAATAATCATTCAGGATATTACACACTTCCTTTTGATCTGTAATAATTCTATTACCTTCCTCAAGCAAAATACTCTGGTCACCAGCCAACCCCTTGTTTGATAAGAAGGGCTTGACTGTTGTCCAGAAATCTTTATTTGCCACACACATCTAGTTCCCGTGTATCAAGCATACGCTGTAAGCTAACCATACATCGGTACAAGTTTAATTTATATATGTTGGGCAAACAGAAGAAGAAAAATGCACGGTCAGACGGGGTTCCAACCCGGGACCCTCTGAACTCTAGACGGACACTCTACCAATTGAGCCACCCGGTCGCCGAAGATCGACCCAGGCCAGTCCAGTTGGCTGTTCCGATACACATAGAATATTTTTTCTTGATAATAGTAGCTCTATGATATATTTCAGCCATGATAAGTGTCGCGAATATTGACAAAAACTAACGGTACCGATATATATGCATTTTAGCCATTGAGACTATATATATATATGGACTGACGGCCTTGCAAGAATAAATTAAAAACCAAACCTTTGCACTTAAGCATAAACAAATCTTAATGGTTATTATCTGTATTTTAACTTTGTCTTTATTTTAACTTAAGTGTAAAAGTTTTGCACTTACTTGACAACAACAACATTGTTCGTAATAAGCTAAATATGCAATGATTACAGCAGCTTATTTCACATAAGTAACTTCTGTTTGTTTGCTTATGTATTTTTATTGTATTATTGTTTCATGGTGACTTTTTATCTCTGTTATATGATGTGATGTTAATTTTCATGTTCCGTTCCTGACTTGATAAAGGGTCGGATCGCCCTGAAAAATTGCACTGTCGTTATTGCTACTTTGCTCATATATGTATTGCTTCATTTTGACAAAGCTGCGTGCGGCTTTTTTTGGAACCTTTCTTTATGATTTGATACTCCTTATTCAAATACATATATCTTTAATAAATGTAATAGATATTTCTTTAACCGAAATAGAGATATATTTACTAAATTCAAATAGACATAGCTTTCATGTTTATTCATATATAACAGGAACGAGATCTAGAGTAGTATGCTTCCACCGGGGATCGAACACGCGACCACAGACTTCCCCAATCGGGAACCGTCGGCACTTTCCGTAAACGAGAAAATACGGGAAAAAAAAGTTTACGGAAAGTGCCGACGGTTCCCGATTGCAGACTTCCCAGTCGATACTCGAGCATCCTCGATACTCCAGGGGTGACGCTCACTTAAGTTTGTAAAGAGCGAAAACCAATGTACAGTCAAAATCTGCCACACTAATCCCCAGCACTATCAGCATCAAATTGATACCTGGGTAAAATACAAGCGACTACGACGTATATCAATTCCCTCCACCCAAATGCACCCATATAGGTGCATTTGAATAGCGGTATGATATTTTATACGAACGCACTAAAATTTCTTTTAATGTACAGTATATATATATATGTATACTATCAAAACAAAAGCAACGAATAAACACAAGATTCAGAAATTGCTTTTGGAATGAAGAGTTTGTGTTTTATATGAAGCTTGAGTAAATCTGAAAAATATGCATGGTTTGGACATGGTGAAAATCTGTCGAACATACGAACTCGACCTTAGACGGCGACAGATGAGAGGCGGTGACGGTAACGTGAGCGTACTCTTTTAAGTATCTTAAAATTTCGTATTAAATGACCTTATACATTGATTGAACTTCATTTTCAGACTCATACGTCAGATTTTAATAATTGATCACATGTAAATCAATCTGAAACAAAACAAATACGTATAGATGGCTTACAAAACAAATATGATTGCACGTGACCTACTTTATGTTGACTAGGCTTAGTTAAGTTTAAGAAAAGTTATAACAATCATCACTGTCACAGACGAAGTTGTCAGTAGTAGGGTACCCGGAAAAAAAGAGGTACGGGACAACGGAAAAGTCCTGTAGGGTGGCGGGAAGCAGGAGTAAGTGGACGGAAACAGAAGTAATTAAAGGATGGCACGAAGTGAATATTTCTGTGGGTGTTTTTTTTCAACACGTGAAAAAATCTCCTCGCTCCCGCTGTTCCATAAATCTCTTATCACTCCGTTCAATGCTAACATTTTTTATCGGGGGCTAAATCGCATCGCTTAGCGTGACGATTCCAGGACTGCTAAATAAAAAGAAATTGATTTTAGAGACCCAACGATAGTACAAAAATTCCGATGATCAAATAACAAATTGTCACAGACAACAGTACGTAGAAATGATATAAAAATACATTAAGACTAGAAATTAAAATGCATAGCCTGTTATGGTCATGTGGCTATGCCCGTTACTGATACATTGATCAAAACACGTTTTCTAAAGCAATATATACCTTATTGCAGGGGACGAGGTCATCCTTTTTGGGGGCAAATCCACATCTGTTGCGCCATACGGAAGAAAAATCACATCGCTAAGCTCGGCAATGTTTTTATTTTTTAAAGTCATAATATACTGTTGTATAGTTCGATTTTAATTAAATTTCTTTTACTGCGCATGTTTTGAATGATCTACATCTAACTCAACACAGTATTGGTATGACCTTAAATTTGATCAAATTTGAAAGAGATCAGATGGGCAGAATCTTTCTGGATTTCAGTTTTCCTTCTGTGATCCAATGGCCGTCTTGATGAACAACTTCGAAACCAATTGGTTCTGCTCTCGATATAGTATCTTTCCTATCCACTTGGGATATGTCATGACACAATGGAAGGCTCTGTACGGGCAACGCGCACCTTGCTGATGATACGAGCAGTTGCTTGTTTGAGTGGTTTTACGTCCACTTCACTGTCTAGTAGTTTGGTTATCATGAAGACGAAGAAAAAAATAAGAAACGAGTAGAAGGGATAAAGTATGTAGTGAATGGATAAGAAAGGATGATGGAGGAGAGAAGGAGCCGTCTTTCCTACATGTACTAATTTATAACTCAATTGTTTGGAAGACTCCTAGACCAAATGTTGCCTTATCCTAACTCAGGTTTGACCTGAAGACGCTAGTCGCATAGCAACACCACACCCCGACTCGACCGGAAGAGGGAGACACAGTCGCCAACATATATACGAGTAGTTTACTTTGACCCCTTTATATACACTGAAATAATCGCGCGGTAGCGTAACGGTAAAATTGACCAACTTTCGACTTTGAAGTTGGGTGTCGCTCCTCTGTAATCGTCAAAGGACAGCTATAAACCTAGTGATTGGTTATTTTTTGTATTTCTGCAACCAATCGTAAAAGCTAACCGCGTGCCGTTGATTTGGTCATAACAGAATCCAAGGGTGTAGAGAAGATGTGTGTATCGGGTACGGGGCCATTGAATGAAAGGTGCTTGGTGAAAGGCGAGATCAAATGCTATCATCTGGGCAATCTACGTGAATTGGAAGTTTAACGTTTTTTTTCTGAGCATTTACATGCAGTTGTAAGAGTTTCCATACCTTTGTATTGCGATACAATGTTGGGACTTACAAATCAGGTTGATCAGGAACAGTTCACAAAAGAAAACTGATAATAAATGTATATATATTTAAATGTTATTAAATGTAGATTGCCTCTTTGTTCATGGTGTTGGTAATGGCTTATTGACTATCTGCAAAAATAGATAAGATCCATAAAAGGTAACACACCAGCTTGGAAAGGCGTGTGTAGTAATTGGACACTCATCTGATGTAATTTAAATGGCGTCATATTAAAGCATTGTCAGTTATCTCCTTTTTTTTCATCAAACATGGCCAGCTTAGTTTTCAAACAAAATAAATAGTAAATGATATTTGATTGATAGATTAAGAATTTATAACTAAATATCATTTACCATTTATTTTACCATTTATTTCTATCATTTGCTTGTCTTGTCAGGGACTCCTTGCAGGGAGGCGTCTTGAAAATAAGACCCATTTGAAAAAAAGCTGTCTGGGGTTCACAGTGCTGAAAATCATATTTACATTGAAGTGCTTATCATACTTTTGTTTCCTTTGTAATGATACGTACACATATGTTTTGTATATCAAACTATAATTACAACAATATTCATCCAAAACACATCGACGAATAAAACGAAAAAAGTCGACGAATACGGACGTGACAGCAAGCTCATTGGTTATGTAACTCGTCTTATTGTAAATACAACTCCGACAGATAGATAATTAAATGAGTGAATGAACATTCACACTTCACTTGTCTTGATATACATTTTAGATATCTTGATATTTAAAAAGCTAGAACTTATTCAAAACGATTACTTTATATAGTGTTGCACCGCAATGAACATCTCTTCATTTTTTGGTCATTTATAGACGTGTTTCCCCATAGTAAGGTGTTCCAGTTAATACCCTGGGCACTCCTGCTTTCATTTCGATATAATCGGATGTTTCCCCATTCGGTACAACACTTTGCTGTCTGTTTGAAAGACGATTTTAATCATCCCAGCAAAAACTGCTTTTATTAAAGGATGTATTTTTAAAAAGCATGAACGATTGTTTTGTGTCATTTTGATGGAAATCCTTACTTACTGGATGTTGAGAATTCCCTCAAATGACTACAGTTATAATATTGTGTCTTTTTAGGATTTTCTAGTATATAATAATTGCAGGTGTACTTCTAACCATCTTCTGTTTCTTAACGCTTGCCTTTGCAATGCCTTGCTCATCTGGTTCACCCGTTGTCAGTATAATCACAGGGACCTGAGCATTTGTTACAGCTATATTTGGACCTAAACTTAGGCAAAGGTACTAACTTTCCTTAGTGAATTCATTGTATGGGTTTACTAGCATATTTATCATAACCTATATTAGGCCCAATGGATTTGAGTCGCCGCTAATCCCACGTTAAAAAGTACTTCATGAGGTATATGCATGAATCTCATATTATTTAAAACAGAGACTTCTGTTAAAACATCTTACAGTTCCAAATTATATACCACCGTTACTCACTCTAACGTTAAATCGCATCTCAGGAAATTTGTACGCTAATGGTTTCAGAATTAAACCGAAAAACGAAATAAATATAACACGACGGTAACATTACTTGAAAGATCAATACGATAGTTAACACTATGCATGGAAGAATGCATTGCGACTAAAAGCGATTCTTACAAGCCCACGGTAACAGCTATCTGAAGAAAGAGTTATACACAGACCATAGTTGCAGGAAGGAAGAATTACAAATAGATCAATACCCAATTCTTGAATTTCGTTTTTTAGATACACATTAATAGGGATTTGTTTGAAGTAGTATTACTACACGAATTATGTAAATTATCGCGGCGTTGAATACTCTGTCACATTCAATATGGTACATATATCTTTCCTTTCTTTTAACATTTTCATTTGTGAGATACCACCAATGACAGTGTATAACATAAATGGTTGTTTCCGTTTAACAGATTCTCCCTGAACACTAACCTGACTCACAGTGCTTTGACTAGGACAAAGTATATACCGCCACCACCATGCGATACTGTAGTACAAGAGGTGGTGTCACCGGTCTTACATTTGAGGAGGCCCTGTATACCGGATATGCTGAAGATGGTGGAATTATACTTCCGGAGACAATTCCAACCATCACCACAGACACTCTGAAATCGTGGTCCAAGCTGTCTTACGTGGGGCTAGTTAAAGAAATCGTACCGTTGTTTGTGGGAGAGGACGAGATTCCAAAGGACGAACTGAACGGTACGTTGTTTTAGCGTTATCTCACAGAAGTCACATTTTCTAAAATAATTCAGGTATTTTTCCTCAAATGACCACGGCGCACTTTGTGATGATGAATATGCAGACTTGGACAGTACGCTTGAATTTGCTACACTGTTGGTTATTTTTGTTTTACTATTCATCCAGGTTTATTGGACAAAGCATTCGGCCGTTTCACCCATCCGGACGTCACACCCATATCGAAGCTTAACGATGGTCTAAACATTATAGAACTCTTCCACGGCGTCACGTGGGCTTTCAAAGACCTTGCGCTGTCGTGTGTGGGACAGTTTCTGGAATACTTTCTTAATAAACGACAGAAACACCTGACAATCATTGTTGGTAAGTCTGTTTGATATATTATGTGTTCGCAAGAAATAAGTTATAATGACATTTTTTGATGTGGTAGCGCACTGGGCTACTGTGTTCAGATCCAGGTACCCTATATAACTGATTTTTCTTTTTCTTACCTAGATGGAATATTGTAGCTCCTAAGGCTCTCATCCTGAGATTAAGTTTTATCCATTAGCAATATCCGTTACAGTATATTGTATTGGCGATACAAAGGCAAACATTATTATCATAATCAGGTATTAATTCACGGTAAATATGCTACTAGTAATAAGTTTTATGCAGGTATAATTATAGTTTTTAAACTTGATATGACTGTTTATATTTTTAACGTTTCTAGGAACATCTGGTGACACCGGAAGTGCTGCCATTGAAGCGATACGTGGTTTGAAATGGGTAGACATTGTTGTATTACTACCGAAGGGACGATGTTCTCGTGTCCAAGAACACCAAATGACCTCTGTTATGGAGGACAATGTCCACGTGTTCCGGGTAGAAGGATCATCAGATGACCTCGACCTTCCTATTAAAAAAGTGTTCATGGACATTCCATTCAAGCGCCAACACAATCTAACCTCCATCAATTCTATAAACTGGGCTCGTGTCATGGTACAGACGGCTCACTACATTTACTCTTATCTACAGGTGGGTTTCACACTTATTGCATAACAACACTTCTTTATGGGCTCTAAATCCCCTAAGGGTGGGGTCAGACCTCTGCGCTACTTCTAGAAGCATGGTTGTGTAAATAATTTCTGCTCAATCGTATGTTATGACTCGGGGGCTAAGTCAGTCCTCCAGAGGCAGGGCAAATCCTGTTAGAATGAAAGTATTCATTTCTTCATACATGGCAATTTTTGTATGGGTTATAGGGATGGGATCCCAGTGGTTTCCTTGTCTTGACCATTGGAATAAGTCCTCGATGGTGGGGCTGTATTCGGGGATCAATTTTAGTAGCATGGATGTATTCGTGACTTATGCTAACTATATATAAGTATGTTGCGATTTTGAGGGAGTCTTTATCATATTTAAATTGTGCTGCTGTAAATTTTGGACCAACCGTTCCAGCACCAGTTTTCAAATTTGCTTCATTCATACTTACCCAAATGGTGTTTAAAGTCAAATAATCAAAAGTTGATATAATCAATGTAGTCGTTTAGAAGTGGCAAAATGTAATTTAGCTTTTTGTTTGTTTTAAATTTAAGTACATCAGCCTTGCTCTAGTTACCCCTTAGAATAATTGTCAGATAGTGTACGAACCCAGTACGATAAGTATACGTATTATATACGTTGTTACCTCAGATGTACCCTGTCATTACACGAATAACGATTTGTTTGTTATACTGTATGTTCACCAAAGATGTGCCCAAGTTGTGATGGTGAGGTAGAAATTGTCATTCCGACGGGTGCGTGCGGAAACGTTACATGTGAGTATATGTAAATAGTCACTTGACAATTTGATTATAAACCGTCTATATTTAGTGATACTATATACATGTAACATACATTGTTTGCCTTTATACACTCCTTATCAAAGTATTCGTACGGATGTGGATGCCTGTGGTAATAGTATGGTTTGTGCTTAAATAAACACTAGAAATACGGAAGTAAGGAAACGATTAAAATACGATAAACAGTAAATACAGAAAACCGAACAAAGTAAATGTGTTTTGTAACATGTGCCCGTTTCGTCCATTGATTCCTACGATAAAACAAATGGAAATCCTTGTCTTAATGTCTGTTAGTTGTGTAGCAATTGCTTTAAAGCAAATTAATATAAAATCGTCTTAACTTTTGTACTTATAGTTTTATTCAGAAGCTTGGTGTGGTATTTGTCTGTGTTAATTGTCTTGTCATATAGAAACGAAAAATATTATATGTATTGATATATAATGCAACATTATTTTGCATGTACTGATTTTTTTTAAAACTTAATTGATTCTTTTCCCATGTCGTAATTGATATGATGTTGTTAACTCAAAGTAAATGTTTTGTATGCACACATAGCGGGCTGTCTGGCTCGACTGATGGGCGTTCCCCTACGACTGGTGTGTGCCGTAACTACCAATGATATTGTCGACAGAACCGTGAGGAATGGGGACTACTCCATGGCAGACACCGTCACACAGACGCTTGCCACGGCCATGGACATACAGGTAACTTTGAATTAATTTATAGTTCAAGGTTACGATTGACCGTAACTGACGGAGTAGTCGAGAAAAATAAAATGTCCATGGTACCAATCTAAAAGTGTCATACATGAGTCAGTTACACCCCAAAGTTTTGCACATCTGATTTCACATCTTTGCCAGCTTGTGTTAAAGTGATGTTTCCTTTTCTGAGGGTATGACATACTGTCACCCAAACCATAACCCAACATATTAGGTAAGAGTATTGAATTTCCACATAGTTGAGTGGTCTACCCTTTATCGACGATGTTGGTAATTTGTCGAGACTCTGATTTGCTTTTTAAATCGACCGTGTGTGTCCAATATTCGCCCTTATGTTCCATCCTTTTCAATTGCGAACGTAACCATAACATTTCCAATGCTTTGGAAAGTGTAAATTTTCTGGAATTACAGTTTTTTCCTAGAGAGACTAAGAGACGATCACTTCTCTAACCAACTGAGTTCTACTCCCCGCGTTCGAAATTGATGTCCCAACAGTTACAGAGACCTATGTCTCTCCATTTCAATCACAGATTTCTGTGAGGGATCAACAACGAATAAGTTGTAATAGGATTGGAGGAAGTGTTTCAGAAAGAAAAGGTTGGCCCAGATCACTGAAACCATGTGATTGTTGCAACTGCGTACCATGTGACAAAAATTAACTCTTACAGTAGATGGAATAGAACAAAAAGTCCAGTCAATAAAAGTATTTAAAACGGGAAAAACTGTTACAAATATAAAAATCAAAGACATTCCCTACTAAATGACCGACAGTGTGGTCTAACATGTTTTGGCAGATTCCAAGTTAGAATATTTGCTGATAACAACAGAACCAAATGGTTTAGGAGTAGAGAAATAAGTCATCCTTATTACAGATGTCCAAACAAATTCTCTTCGTCAAGTGCAAGACATTGTAGTAGGTGCCAGTCTAGCAACCATATTTGATCCGTGATTGTGATAAATACGAAAGACAATGTTACTACTGTGGTGAAAGTGGTCATTTGCAAAGAGACTGTAAAAGAATCTGACAGTGAAATCTATGGACAATATGCTGCAGCAATCAAAGAGGGCCAGCGTGAGACAGCTTGGAGCAACAACGAAAACAAAGAATCGCAAGACGAAGAATCCCTCCAAGAAGCAAATAAATGCCTAACATCGGGTCATTCCAGCTGCAAACACATTGAGCTTCAAAACAAAAACATTGTATGTACATCAATATCTGGAGCGGCATTTGAAGAAATCTCCGATAGCACATACAATGTAGCATGCTCGATTAATTCGAAATAGGAAAAAGGTGGACAAAACTATAATTTGCTTTGGAACAGATGACATAGCAAAGACGACCGAGAAACTGTTTATATCAAAGCCAAAATAGGCACTGTAGTGGTGGGTACTGGATGGTTTCACAGAGGCATCATCTATAAGTCTTAGAAGGACGAAGCAGCTGTATGAAGCAGTGCACTTCATATTTTAGCATAGCAACTTTAACAGGCGCAATAACATGTATGTCTTGCGTCAATCCATCAACACATAGCTATAGGTTAAGAAGCTTCGCTGCCGATTAAGGTGTTGGGTTTTATGAAAATCAGTAGCAAAATATAAAAACACAACAACCAATATTTCGATTGAAGTTTTGTGTCCATTTTATCACATTCAAATTCAGCCTTTACAAGTTCCAAATCTAACAAAATAATTGCAGCTTCGTCAGATCAAACAAGTGCAAGAATGTAAAGTTCGTATCCATATCAACTTAAAATCGTATTAAGGACTGCAATGAATTCAAAGTTTGAAGAAAATCCAAGTACCTAACAAGATTGTATTAGTAAGGTATTATAAACGGGTTTTTATTGTATTGTTTTGGGTACCCTAGAATATGGAGAGTATCTGGAGCATGGGGACCGGAGGTAACGCCCCACATATTAATTATCTATCATTATAACGACTTTATTTTGTATTATGAACCCAACAGTATGGACATGATCTAGAACATAATGACTGGAAGTATTACTTAGATATCATCATGAAGATGTCATTTGTTTTCGGTACCCGTCAATATGGAAAGGATCTAGAGCCTGATGCCTGAATTAATATAGACTACAACACTCTTGCATTTTGCAGGATATCAGTATACTTTTTGATTGGAATCAACGTAAAGCAATTTAGAGATGTCCAATGTATTTAATGCATCCTTATATAACGCTCATTAGGGTTACCTTTTCATGAATCACATTCCAACCAGATTCAATTAAGCAATGCATTTCTTCTCGTTATTCTCTTCATAACCACTTTCTTTCATTTCCTGATGCACCCCTTCCTCCCTCCCCCCTGATTTCTTCTTCTTCTCTTTGTCTGTTATACTATCAAAATATATGTAACAGTGCCGTCCTACTACCAGGTTTATTAATAAGGAGACGAATTAATATAAGTACTATTATGTACTTGTTTTCGAATCCTCTTTGTTGATTTTGTATTATTTTGTCACTGCCATATATTGAATAAAATACTGTTTAAACTAAAGTAAAGCGCCTCGTAGTAATTGCTTACCATTATGACGATTTTACTTTTGTAAGGTACCCTACAGTATGTAGAAGATATGGTCATGGTGGTAATGGGTGTATTGTACTGTGTTAGGTACCCTACAATATGAAGAAGATCTGGTACATGGTGGTAAATAATGGCTGTTTTGAATTGTGTAAGGTACCCTACAATATGGAGAGGATCTGGTACATGGTGACAGGCGGTAACGCACCGCGTATCAAGGCATTGATGGACGAATTTGAAAGCACGGGAAAGGTTCAGCTGCCGACTGACATCGTTGAAAAGGTAAAAATAAATATTTAGTATATGTAGGCGAACCTAGCTCCCAACTCTACAATGAATCAAAGTTACTTTAAACAACCCATATTGAGCAAAATGTTGACCTCAATACACATGTACCTTTCCTATTGTTAACATGTAAATGCACTCTTCGAAACATCCTCCTTCTACGATAATAAGCATTTTCGGGTTTATCTTCATTCTCACGTTGTGTTTCTTGTTTGTGAGCAAATGTGCTGGTACCTATTCAGTTGTTCTTAGCTTGAACTGTAGTTTTAAATCCTGACTCTGTTCCTATACACACATTGCATGCCCCCTAAATCAACTTCTTGTCATTATTTACCGACCAGACGAGGAAAGTTCAGTTGGAAAAGTCGGTAAATTTATTAAGTCTGGTGCAGATGTGTATTAAGTCTGGTGCAGATGTGTGACATTTGATAGACAACAGACCCTACGGAGTTAACACTCATAATGACGTTGTTTAGATACCCATACCTGTCCCATTAATTGTCACTAGGTGACAGGTATAAAAATAAGAGCAACACAGCAAGGCATTGTAGAAATTATGTTTTATATTTGTTCATGGCATGATAAATCTTGTACATAGACATATACATTTACACTCGTGTACAAACATGTTACTTAGGAGAGTTATACAAGATACAAAGGAAAATCTTCAATAGCGTGACTAACGGTTCGTATGTTACAAATAAACATGTACTGTATTGATCAAATGTAGGACGTAGAACATAAATAAAACGTTTTTTTTTTGTTTTCTTGTTTTTTGTTTTAATTGTATTTAGGATGCTTTATCATGCCCTGCAAAGTGTTCTCATTTTTCATGACAATTTAATAATCTAATATGGATTTTTTTTTACAATTGGTGCTTTTTATTCAGTGAAAGGGGTGCTTTTCCAATTATGCAATGTGAGTTTTTTTTTCATTACATAGTATATTGTATAATAACAATGTTTTCATTACCTAGTAAACAAGCAATATTGTATAATAACAATGTTTTCATTACATTGTAAACAAGTTATATTGTATAATAACAACGTTTATATTATGTAGTAAACAAGTTATATTGTATATTAACAACGTTTTCAGTAAATAGTAATCAAGTTATATTGTATAATAACAACGTTTATATTATGTTGTAAACAAGTTATATTGTATAATAACAATGTTTTCATTACGTAGTAAACAAGTTATATTGTATATTTCCAATGTTTTCATTACCTAGTAAACAAGTTATATTGTATAATAACAACGTTTATATTATGTTGTAAACAAGTTATATTGTATAATAACAATGTTTTCATTACCTAGTAAACAAGTTATATTGTATAATAATTGTTTTCATTACATAGTTAACACGTTATATTGTATAATAACAATGTTTTCATAACCTAGTAAACAAGGTTATGTAGTAAACAAGTTATATTGTATATTAACAATGTTTTCATTACCTAGTAAACAAGCAATATTGTATAATAACAATGTTTTCATTACCTAGTAAACAAGTTATATTGTATAATAACAATGTTTTCATTACCTAGTAAACAAGTTATATTGTATAATAACAATGTTTTCATTACCTAGTAAACGAGTTATATTGTAAAATAACAATGTTTTCATTACCTAGTAAACAAGTTATATTGTATGTTTTCATTACCTAGTAAACAAGTTATATTGTATAATAACAATGTTTTCATTACCTTGTAAACAAGTTATAATGTATAATAACAATGTTTTCATTACCTAGTAAACAAGTTATATTGTATAATAACAACGTTTATATTATGTAGTAAACAAGTTATATTGTATAATAACAATGTTTTCATTACCTAGTAAACAAGTAACTAAAACGTTAACATTTGAATCATATCACTATATTTGAATACATGGTATACTGCAACCATAAACGCAGCTCAATCTGGCGTTGTTTAGGATTGCTGCGAAATACGTCATAATTATACTTAATATGACCGTACATTTGAATGATGAACAAACTATAACTTGTGTACAGTACAATAGTTGTTTTATGATGGAAAATTAGGATATTAAAGAATGCTTTCTCTGTTTTGTTCTAGACCAAAGAAATCATTGTCGAGACATTTGTCGCCAATGACGACGTAGTGAGACAGACAATGCGCCGGACGTTTGAGAAGGACCAGTACCACGTGTGCCCACATACAGCGATAGGCGTGGCATACCACTACCGGGACCTGGACAGGTATGGTTATCCCTACATTACCGGAATTTGATACCTATAAACGATTTTAAATCATCCCTAACGAAATATCCCCTTCTAAACCGGAAATCGTTTATTCGCCGTGTTTTACAATGATGATTTTTTTTTTTTGACAAAAATATGGTCAAAGTTTGGCAGGAATAAGGCAAAATCCTTTTTCCTTGCAAAAATATGTATTTATTTATGTGCTATAACTGTCATGCGCTACACGTCAAAAGTACATATTTCTTTCTTGTCCTTTAGTAAACAAAACACAGACAGGCGCCCTCCCAGGGTAATCATAGCAACCGCTTCTGTGAAGAAGTTCCAGGAAGCTGTTATTTCTGCTGGACTAACGCCCGTCGACAACGCCGAGGTTGCGTCACTTCTCACAAAAGAAACAAAATCACAGGAAATGAAAAAAGAGGATAACTGGGAAGAAATGTTACGAAAGACCATTGAAATGATTTCTGTGAAATCAAAATAACTCTGGACATATAACACTGTTATAAATTATATTTTGAAATAGTTATGGGTACATGTGATACAATTTTTATGATTTATATTACATAGAATCACAATCAAATAATGTTTTATTATAATTGATGTTAGATAGTACTATATGATTTTTTTAATTATCTATTTTCGTTAAACAAGATGTCTATGACAGGTGCTATATACAGGTAGGTTAAAGTTATTGCCACATACTTGGTATTATATTATCATTCTGCTATATACAGGTAGGTTAAAGTTATTGCCACATACTGGTATGAGCCAAAGATTATGAACAGTTGTGTTAAAAACACATTGAAAAGAGGGCTGGTAACAACATTGGATTGTTACCTTGTGGCTTAAATATATTCTTGCACAGTTTGCAGCGAAAAGTAGTAATTTTTTACTTGTTATTATTTTAAAGGCACTTTTATGTTTTTCTCGTAATTTTAAGTATATTTTTGATCACTTTGGACACGGATTTCCATAATTTTGATTTTGAGTACCACTTATGTGTCTTTAACGGATTAAATGACCATATGATGAGGTAAATGCTTACTTTGGATTTCCGCATTGATTAAATACAGTCTGTGTTACCTTGCTTTGTATTACTAATAAATATGTTATGGAACTTCTATTTAATAATGTCTGTTTTGACCATTATTGTTTAAGAATTTTTATGAATACAAATCGAACGCAATCGCTACACAATGATGCTCATTATAAGTGGCTGCTTCATAGTGATTATTCGCACACATCAGCAACATTGAAAGGTTGACATTAATTATTAGCAGATAAGAAATGAACATATCCAGTCAGATTTGGAGCGAGATGATATAAATATCGATATTACTGTTGATTACTCTCTGAATGTGATATCTAAATTCTATTTTATAACATGATAGATAATTTTATAATCATGCTTGATGAACGATGTAGTATAATTTCAAAATATATCCGCATACTGCTGCATAATATGTGTAAGTAAATTGATTAATTCCGCTTGGTTCATTCTCTGCTTGCATGTAATTATTTATGTTTATTCAAGAGTATTGTTTAAGACATTGTGAAGAGTTTATAAACACTTCAGTATTTGTTTGTTTTCCTTTTTCAATAATTGATCATTCGAATAGGTATATTTTTATAGTGATTCATGTATTTATTTGTTATCAACCTGAGGTGTTACACAAATGCTAAATAATAAGAAATTTAATTTGTGGTACTGCGGTTTTTGAGGGAATAGATGATTATGTAACAAAATGCACGATTTTGGCTTGAAGACGGAGAAATTATAAATAAAACTGAGAGTATAAAAATTAACATTAGTCTAGACTTATTTTGTTTTAGGATGTTAATAACTAACCTGCACACTAAGAATGTGATTATGATGATTTAACATGGCTACCGACAGTGACTCACCAGATAACAAAGCGCTCTCACAATCATTGCCTGCCTCACCAGTAATTGTCGGTACGGTAGGGTCTGTAGACAATTATAACTCCTGTTAAAAATGCACGTGATTGATCATCGCTTTTAATATCCAAAGTAATGGATGATGTTGTCTTGTTTTGCTGTCATGCTTTCCATAAAAAACTTCCTAAGAAAGATGATTTTAGATAAAATTGCTACATAAGTTATCAAGCATTACTTTATTCATGTTTCTGTAAATTTTGTGACAAAAAGGAAACAAATCCATGTTTCTGTAAACTGTTTTGTCACGAAAAGAAAAATAATTCATGTTTCTTGAAACTCATTGACATATATGAAAAAAATATCCAATATAAAACGAAAAGAAAACTGTTGTAGAACGTGTCTTTGTGTAGACTATATGTATACGCGTCAATTAAAATGACAGGTACGTTAATGTGTGCCTGTGGGCTTAAAATTAATCTGTCTGGCCTGTCCAATTTTATACCGTGACGTCAGGGTCTACACCCTACACACGTACTCTTGCACAGTCAAAAGGAACACCGTCCGATGCATTTGTCATATTGATTTCATGAAGTGCGCAGTAAATCATTGTGAGATCACTAATTGCAATTAAGAAAAAATATTGCTCTTGCTTACTGTTACCGATGCAATGTGGACAGTCTGTCATTGATATCCTCGAATTGTTATACGAAAGCAGCTAGCGGCAATGTGTTTAGAATATGCAAAAAGCAAATTTGATAAATACAGTCCAGCCTAAGTGCACTCTTATATATATATATATTTTTCACATCTCGTTAAACTAACATTTGGCGATTTCCTGACGTAACGGATTTGAACATTGAAGTTTGCTGGTTTGCAGACGTCACAGTTTGGAATGGATTTACGATGTCTGTGTGTCGGTATAGTCGTACTTGTGATGACATACCACGTGACCTCGAGTGGATACGGAAGAGAACGGTGGCAGGGCCAGACCAGACCTTTTGGTAATTTCTGGGCTGACAACAGGATCGGAGCACGGTGGCCACTAGTGAACAGGCGGTCAGGGAACACAGGTAATATTGTGTCGCTATTGATCTACATAAATCATACATCGCTGAAGTTTATAATGATGCATCAAACTTCACCGTAAAATAATCAAGAGATAATCAACGTTTAAGCGTGAACATGTATATATTACGGTAGAATATTTAACGAAAACGTTGGAAAAATAATAACGAAGACAGCTTCAAATATATGCGTCTCTTCGAGCTACACAAGTGCTTAATCATGCCTTTCTCATGTAATACTCCGTACTTGTTAACTCATAGGTTGTGCTCGATAACTCAGTTTTAAGTAGATGTCTCGGTAAGTGGTCTATATCTGTGTTTTATGTGATAATCTAAGGCCATTCTCTATACTTAAACAAATAGGGTAGGCTAGTGCTTGACAATTTTAGATACTTTGTCTTGATAAATTTCGCTATATAAAAATATGAGTTTGGGTGTCGTAAGTTACATTAATACGGAGAACGGCTCAATAACTTGCTGAAATTATATTCAACATCATCCACAACGAGGTGAATAGCGTGTCCTACTTAACGGCTTAACACTCAGTGTTCACTACTTAATAGTAAATAGATCACACAAGGTAGATGTACAATGTTCTTTTAGTTAAATTAGGTCGTTGATTCCCTGAAACCATCGCTTAAATATAGAAGTTGTTGTTCAATGTTCTAACAGTTGACTTATGGTCATTGTTTCTCTGAAACCCTGTCTAAAATATAATAAACATACTAATGCCATCTTTCTGTGTGTGTGTATTTTTCAGGAAACCGCTCTGGAACGTACCCATCAGAAATATCCCCTCTGCTGTTAGATACCCTGTGTTCCTTGTGTCAAAGATTTCCACGCCGGAATTATCCATTGTGTGTCCGAAGATACTGTACCTTTTGATGTACCCTTACACTTAAAGAATGTCGGAATACATGTAGTTGCTATATCAATATAAACGTGTGCTTAATATATTAATGTTTACGTACATTAACTACAATAGTGATTTCAGTTTTTCTTCACGCTTCCTTTTTCTGGGGTCAAAAAAGTCGCGAAAAAAGCGATCAAACGAGTTCGAAACTAATTCGTATCCACGATGGCAAAGGACGAGCTGAAAAATCGCTCGGTGTAACCATCGTGTAGAGATTGGATTCACATCAAACAAGATTGTAAGATGTGACCGGAGTCATCGTGTTACCAAGAAAGACATCCTCACGAAGTTATCTTTATCAGCTGAATATCCAACAGATCATTCAAAAACGTACTTACCATCTACCGTATTTTAAAGACATATTAACACATAAGTCCTGAACAAAAACAAAGCAAAAAGTAGAAATTTTAAATATAATAGTTTAATTATAAACATTTTTTTCTTATATAAAAAAATAGTTTGTATCCAATCAAATTCTAATACTGTATAACAGGAAATATTCGGGGTACTTTATTTGTAAGCATAATTTCATTACTACACATGTTCGTTTACTGTCGTTACATTTGAGTTTAAATCAGGTAAATTGTCAACCTAATCGCTGTACTAGTCATATTTGTGGTTCCGTTGTAACTTCGAAAGTAAACACCGCGAAAGTTTCATGTCATACAGGACTAGCAATCACATTTCAGGAACACGTTATAGAACAAACCTGACGCAGAACATGTGCCGGGCACAAACATCAACATGTACATGTTGTAGTAAAACATTACCCAGCACATGTACCGAGCACAAATATTGACCTATACACGTTATAGTAAAACATGTGTAACGAGTACTCGGTACCAGTCGGGAAACAAGCAAGCACATGGGCCTGTATTGATGAAACCATTCTCATACTCAAGCATGTATTCTGTGTTCAAACATTCCTGTAACTCGCTTAAATCAGTACAAAAATCTGGTGTAAACTCTGAAAACAGTATTCTGCTTCAGGTCTCCCAGAATTCTTCCAAATAATTATAAAAATGTGAAATATTAAACATTTATCACCGGATAAGGAAATTGGGCATGAGTACACAATCTAAGTTTGAGTATGAGAACGGTTTCATGAATACCGGCCCATTACCTACCGATCTGTCACTTAACTCGTTACACGTAAATACATTGACATTCACATTTTTAAAAGCCTAGATCAGAATTGCCAAAATGCTTCATAACAGGTGATATATACATGTATAATTAATATAAAATTGGTTAAGTAAAAAATGTAACATATTGTGTACAGAACTGACGAGAAATGTAACAAAGCATTGTTAATACATGTTTATGATACAGTGGAAGAAATATGCATTTCAAATAAAAATTAACCTCGCTAAATAACATAAAATTTAATATTCAAATTAATGTATATGGAAAAGAAATTACATATACAAAGATCATCAGCAATACTTACATCTATGCAACTATTACAACGTATAAAACAAGGTATGATATATTTAGTATTCTGTAACATGCACTTCCAACCTTTAAAATTATAAAACCTTTAAAAATTAATGCCTTTCGGTTAACAAGATGATATAAAAACTCGTTCATGCAGTGATACGATTAATATGTGCATTACCAGTAGCAATTAAAAGGGTTTTTCCCGAAGATTACTATTCTATTGTAGCTTGCTCATAACGGATTTTCGCAACAATGTCTCTTCTCGGCATTACGTGTTTACAATATACAACAAATGACTCTGGTACATGATTTTACTACAAGGACACACTGCTCCTCCGTTGACAAGAAGGCACAGTTGTATAATGTTTGCAGTTTCCATTGACGCAGTTATTTCGTATCAATTTCAACCCAAACGTTACTTTGTATACAAGCTAAAAACTGTAAGGCACATGTTAATTAACACTGCAAAACAAGATACAGGATAAATGAAAATGCATTGCACAGTAAAAACTACTTTGCATACTTAGTAAGTGCATACAATCTCATTGACATCTATGAAGTACTTTCGAAGAAGTATTCCGGTCGAACTTGTGTCAACAGGCAGACGGACAGACACCCGATTCGAGCAGACCATATAACTTGGTATCAGAGCGTATGACAAATATAAACTTGGATAATTTCATACAGCAAACTGTATGATAAATATATATCGTAACGGTTCTTTATCCTTGAAGGATAGTACAGACTATTGACACGTTGACATCATCCTAATGCAGGACACGTATTGTATATCCCCACAAAAACAAGTTCCCAAACGAATGATTCCAGTATCAGGAGTCATTGTTTGAATAAGTGTTTGAACCTGTATTAATGTATGCTAATATTAAATGGTTCAGCAAGTACTCTTATATCCCCAAAGGTGGTAAAATAGTGTCAGTCACTGATGGATAGTTTTAACCAATAGAACCATATCTCTATGACATTATCGTAAGGGACAATTTAAGGAAACAAGATCAGAATACATGTTAATACAGAAAGCAAAGATCCATCCCAGTGACGACGTCGTTACGTTGGTGATACAGAAAATATATATAGGACGGCATATTTATCATCAAAAGTAAGTCCCTGTCTTAAATGTCATAGAGATATAGTTAAATTGATTGAAAGCCGTTAAGCAGTGACTAAAACTATTCCTTTTACCACTATGCGGGGATACCAGATCATTTGCTATATGGAACGGGCTTTTATAGCCAATTCCTCTGCCCAATCCAATTGTTAATTAAACAGTAATATAACTCCGAAATGAAATACCAGATCACTTACTAAAAAAGCTTTTCATTATATGAACGTGTTGCAATTCTGAATCTACTCGATGTAAGCGTTTTTGTAGTAAACTATAAAAATAGTTAAGTTTGAATATAGTTTGCAATCTTCAAGTGTCACGGATACTCAAAAGAAATACTTCACTTGTCAAGTAACACAGAATACATATAGAAATATATCTTACATCGCATTTGGTTCGACTTTCGCTTATTTATACTAAATTTTGCATTTGTCTTCGCACGCAAAAATGTTTACATTTAAAATAACTAGCTTGATTTGTACTATATAATTCAACAATAATACGCGAATACGCCTGCATGTTCGCTTTTTTGCGAAATGCATCTGCATAGTTGGAAAATAACTGGAACCACTTAATTCAGAGATTATCATAGAAGTTTATGGATGATAACAAAGAGGATATTATTTATAAACTTGTCACCATTTTGAAAAAAATTATCTCGAAAACAGCTTATTCCGATGGTTGATGATTTCTGTTTCAATCGATGATACACAAGAGTTGTAAAATGCCTCCCCCGTAAACAAATACATTCAGCTCAATTTGAATGAAAAAGAAGAAATTAGCGCTTAATAGGGAATAACTCTTCCAACGCAGAGGAATTGAACACTACAAAATCTCGACTTCGTGACTAGAAAGCTGCTGCTCGATTTTTTTATGATGATGACACATCTGCTATGTTTTCTGAAGATAAGACTCCGGTGCCCAGCCTTCCTTTCCATCAATGGACACAAGCCACCAACCTGTATCAAGCTGTTGTTTAACAATTATAGAATCACCGGCATAGAATGATATCTCTCCGTCGTTTTCTGCAAAAAAGTCTGCAGTTGCTATAAATTTAACGGTTGCTTGTCCTTTATCTTTGTATGGTTTGGAAACCGGGGGTGGGGGTTTTGCAGACACAATTGGTTTGGGCTTCATTGCGGGCTTTGGAAGGATCTTCTTCTCTGGAACAAATGGCTTGGATGTTCTAAACTGGGGGCCAGTCTGAGCGTGGCCTTTTGGTTTGGGCTTCAGTGGAACTGGGGTGGGTTTTGTAGTATCCGTTTCAAATTTAGATTTCAAAGCAGATGTTGAAACGTTTCCACTGACATCCTCTTTGTCATTTTCATTATGTTTAACGGCAGGTTTCTTTGAAACAGGAGGAGGTTGAGTAGAATTACTTGATTCATCTGATACCATTCCACTAGTTCGGGCTTGAAATTTGGCTGCTAACACGTTTTTAAAATCTGAGGTGCCGTCAGTTTTAACTGGTTCCTTCTTGGGAAGCGCTGGTTTTGATGGTCTTGACGGTGGGGTTGTCTTAGAAGGCAATGCTTTTCCGTTAGGCTTTGGTTGAATGTCTTCTCTTGGAGAAGAACCAGTCTTCACTTTTGGTTTAACCGGTGGCAAAAGTGGTTGCTTTTTAATTGCAGAAGTTGTGTCATTATTATTGTCTTTAGGATTTCGCTCTTCAGTAGCAGCACTTTGTCGTTTTTCAAATTTAGCTTTAAGGACATCTGCCAAGTGTGATGATTCTCCATCACCTTGATTCTGATTCCCACTAAACCTGCGGTTGTTTTTCGGAGGAGTAAACGGCCTGGGATTAACTGCAGTTTTCTCTTTCTCAAATTTAGTCTTCAGGGCCTGTGAAACAGATCCCTTTATATCAGTATCATCGTCCTCTGAAATCACTGATCTCAGAGGTGTATTAGGTTTGTTTGGAGATTTCTTTAACTTGATTGTTTCAGAATCTGCTTTTTTCATTGGTTCAAGATAATCTTCATCATGTTTGGACTTTCTTGCATCTGTTACCTCCTGGTACCAATCATCTTCCTCTGATTCAGACTTGTCTTCTTCATCTGATGGTTCTGGAACCTCATGGTAGACAGTGTCTTCTTCTTCCTCAATGTCGCCCTGGAAATATCAACATTGCTGCATCAGTATATATTAGAGATAAATGAAGTTAACGATGTGTAACAAAATTGGCCGTAAATTTGATAATTAATGATGAAGAATGGAACCATCTTATAACCTGTAAGACAGTGGGTATCAATAGAGAGCAGCACTTTGGTCAAAAGTACTTTGACGTCAAATCTTATGTTTTGGATAACACAGTGCATTAATTGAAGGGGGACTGTGGAATTGTAAATGGTGCTAAAGGGCTATCCATCTAGTGGCGACCAGGTCAGTCATGAATGGCATAGAGATAGGAACGAGAGTGTGAGCTCCCAAAAACAAGTTAGCTTAGAAGTTAGATTAAATTGTTGCACGTGCCTCATTATTTATATATAATATAGATCCTACTTATGAATATTTAATGCTGGAAAGATTGTTAAAAGTACTTCAGGATAATTACATAGGGTTTGGAGTCAAGAGTTAGGAGTGGGAGTGTAGATTCGAGGTTCGAGAATGTGAGCCTCTAGGGAGAGAGGCCAGGGAAGGCCCCGGCCAGAGGGGCCTGGGATGGCCCGGGTACAGCACTATTATTACCCATGTAACATAACAGCATCATTTTGACATTGCGACCTATTTCACAAGAGCTTATAAGAGAAGGAAAAAAATGCTTAATCAAAAATGACTATGTAATGAAGACAAAACAATCTTAACCTCAGCAGACCCTTGGTTCAACCGAAAGAAATTTGACTCCTGGGTTGAGACTTTTGTATATAAGCCACAAACTCATCATAGATGTTATGAGTCTTATGGATATATACCAGTGTCTCCAATTTAATTGAGTGCAGAATTTCTGTATGGAGGAGGCATAAATAAAATCATTTATGATGGAGTTAGGATCTACAATAACTGTTAAACATCTGTGACAAAGGAAGGATAAACAAGATTTGTGATGGAGCAAGAATAAAGATAAATTACATTTGTAATTTCCTCCAAATAAGAGGAGGGGATCCATCCACTAACACCGTTAATCTCTCCGAACCACCATCCACCGTCCGTCTTCTCAGAAATCTGTAAGAAAAAAAAGTTATATATCTACATGTATTACGTTTATGATATATACAATTGTACCAGTGAAGAAAATAGATGTGTAAACATCACAAACCAAACCATGTTATGTCTGAGAACTGTGATATATATGTGTATTCAGAAATAGTTTACACAACAATACTATGTCACATTAGACTCCACACAACTGTAGATTATAATGTAACAGTAATATCTTATATTTACCAAGACTTCCTGGCCCCTATCAAAGCTGATTCCGTCCCCTACTGTATCACTGAAGGTTGCTATCGTTATGTAACGCTGTGATTTAGCCTCCTTTATCGCCACATCAAGTTGGATCTGAATGAAAAGTATTGAATATTTATTTAAGATTATCACAAAAGTAAATCATTAAACCTAAAAATTAAAAACAATCTGCAAAAAATTGTATATGGTCAATGTTCCTTTAATGTAGTGTGTAATGTTTTGGACTTCAGTCAAAAAACACAAACAATGGAACATGTTAACACCCTGTAGGACACAACATACTGATTACATTATCAACACAACCTTTTACTGTTTATTAAAATCAGCCGAATACCACCTTAATGAGTGCTAATTGGAAGCAGGTATTTCTGTTACTAGTATGTCTTTCAGACCAGCAGTGCACTTTTTCTGATACTGTGTCTTCAGATAAACTTGGGGTTTTGACATACTTAATAATAATATTCAAAAGGAAAAGATGACCATGACAACGTCGTGCTGGGTATAACTGCTCTCAATATGTCACTTTGACTAATTCACCTGTTCAAACAATCAAACAATTAAGTGTAATTCGCTATTCCTTACTGATTCAAATCTGATTCTGTGAGTGTAGCACTGCAGGCTGTTCTGCTAGCAAGCTCACTGCACCCCTCTTCATTCAACATTGTGATGTTCGAAACAGAGTTGTCAAGGGTTTGTACATTTTTTAATTTATTCATCTGATGTTTTTTTTCTTTTCTGATGTGCTGGACACACAAATCATAAAAATAGTATGGTAAAACCTAAAGTTAGTCCTTTTGACAGAGATTGCAAAATCTTCTTCAACACTATTACCATTGCCATCATTAGTTGTGAAATAGGCCAGTCAAAGGAACCAAAACATGGAACCAACCACCACAATAAATAGGGTTTGTAGGTTGTGTTACTCTGATGCAATGGAAATGGGCCAATTTTAACAATCCTACTTTATAGGAATCGGGGTCATGGGTAACATTACATGTTGTCTAGCTTTCACTGCTCATGATCAGCAATGTGTGTTGGGCTGCTGAGCTAAAGCAGGTTGGTGAGGAACAATTTGCATACGGGAAAATTTTTCAGCATGCAGGGCGTGGAAAGGAAATTCACCAGAATTTTTTAGTTTTTAAATACATACATTATACCTGCACTTTTGTGTTTTCCACATGTTTTTGACCTGTTGATAAAAACACTACAGTGAAAGCTGAACATGTTCTCTGATATGTGAATGTCTAACCAAAACATTATATCACTATTTTGTTAAAATGAAAATATCACTAGAAACCACCAGATAGCATATAAATGGAGCTACAGTTTGGATACTGAATTGGTGAGAATAAACACAGGAGTTTGTGGAGTTTGTGTCAATAGACGACACAAATTTAGTTCAAAGTAATAAATATATCAGCAAATGTTTGCATTACTTGGTTCAGACTTAATTGATGTAAAGTAGTAGCTGAGAAATCTGGACCACAGTAACTTACATTTTTGATGGAGTTTTGTCGAGGTGGAGGTCGGATGGAGCCCCCTCTCTCCAGACTCCCAGATTTCTGTCTCCGTAACTTCCTACCTCCTGGTCCTAACTTACTCCCAACTCCAGACATGGCCCCAACAGCCTGATCTTCATTCCCTTTCGACATGATGTCACTGATATCGCTAAGCGTGCCCACAACCTGTACTCCAGACTGACGGGCCGTACGCTGTATGTGGGCTTTCTCTGCCTTCATGAGGTATGTGGCTGGGGCCCAACCCTCCTTTCCCATGTACCTGTCAATATAATACAAACAAATGAAAGAGTCAAATGATATTAGGCTTTATGACAGAATATTGAGAAACAACAAGGTAGTGTATTTTGTTAAATAAATCATCAACAAGACTATTAGATGTGTGATATAACCTACTTTTAAACATCATTACTCTGTATGTATGTGAAACGTTACAACCATATGCTTGCTATTTCAAGACAACATTACAGTTTATGAAGTTTATCACTGCGGCTCAATTTTAAGCTTGTCATGTAATTCTGCAGATCATGTTTTTCGCGATCATAATATTGACCTGCAAAAATATCCTCCGTAATAAAAACATCACAGTACATGATCAATGAGAAAATATGCCCACCATAAATATGAACAAGTGATGAAAATGGCTTGCTCATGAACTGAGAATGACAAACATTTCTACATAAAACAAACATCACTAACAAAATATCATTTTGTTCAGACTACATGTCCATTGATAATAACAAGCTTTGTAGCTGGTATTCAAGTTCTTGGTTTGTTCAGAGGAAAATGGTTGCCTCATCTAAAATTTTGAAGAAAGCTTTGACAAAGTAAATACTGTTATATTGGACCTGTGCTTGATTTAATGTGTTTTTTCACAGCAAGTTATTTTTATATCATATTGAAAATCCTGTAAAGGAAATCCCTTGGTGAATTATACCTGACCATCCACCAACCGTCCAGGTTTTTCTCCACCACGTCAACAATAACACCCAGCTCCAGTGCAATCTCATCTTCATTTGTACAAGAGAAAGCCTCCGTCACCATGAACTTCTCCTCTGTAACAGTGACAAGTATATCATAAACATTTCTCTTTATACCCTGGACAGGTGTTTCCGCACTTTTACCAGTATGAGATATTGTTGTCTCACCCTAGGGTTGAGACGGGCTAGGGTGAGACCGGGGTATTCCCTTATTCATAACAATGGTATGACGTCACGTCAACAATACAATGACCTCACATCAACAATCCATCAATGTCACTTAAACCCTGAATTTAGCCTGTAACATCAACATTACAACAAGGCAAGGGTAGACCCAACGCCGTGGTTTTCTAAATGGTGGAATAATTTGGTCCTTTGCTCCTCGTCTGGATAACCGAAAGTATGCAGGGGATTGAGTAAAAGTGAGAACATCATAAAATAGATTCAATCACAACAGGCGAAGGAGCAATAAGTTGTTATTGTAGTTTCGACCGGTTTCGGCCCTACAGTGGGCTTCTTTGGGACAAAATTATAGGATATTTCTACCCCTAAGGTACTAAAAATGTGGACACATACAATTGTTCTACATATATATGGGTTTACCTGTATTTCAAGGTTTAACCCTTAAATGATGACACTCGAAATACTTTGCACGACACATGGGGACAGTGAAATTAGATCCCGTAAATATGTACTGAATACGACACCACGAAATATTGACCCCGAGAATCTAAAGCGCTATACCGTATTTTACTACTGGAATACCATGAATTCAAAACTCAATCCCAAACATTATTCTCTACATACCTTTTGTCACCATATTCAGATATGTATAATGTTATCTAGGAAAACATTTGAAACTGTGACATTGCTGAAACTTGATTGTACAATGGGTAACAATATATGACAGAAAGTCCCAGGTGTACAGTGAAACATGATCTTACTGACACATGACTTTGAAGATATCTTGTGAAGTCTGTCATACTTTCCTGTCTTAAAAGTCTTTAACAGACGCACTCTCTTATCTAAGAAAATATTTCAGGCCCCCTTGATGTCAGTGAAGACAGGTTTCATTGTTCAAGTCTAGCACACCCGTACACCTTACCTTCCCCAGGTAGCAGCCTCTGGGTAGTGTTCTCCTTCAGGCCATCTTTCCTCTTCAGGTAGGTACTGGGGACCCAGCCCTGATGGTCCTCAATGGTCACAAACCACCAACCTATCATCATACGTAATATAATGCAAGTCAAGAGGGGCATACATGTAAACAACCAAGTGTAGAAACTAGTATAATAAACGGGAGAACAGCCAACACTGGTCCAATGTAGGTACTGAGAAGGCATAACTGGCGAAACCTGTCAGCAAGTAATTAAGTATTTTACTAACATGTAATTATTTTGTGAAGCTGGTTAATGTTGAGAACGTTATAAGTAACAAAGGAGTTAAACTCAGTACTATATGTAACCATAAGGAGTGGAAGTTGTCTTCTTTAAAAGTGAGGATAAATCAGAAAGCATTAATGTATATCTTATATGATCAGCTTTTCTGCAAACAGTCCTAAAATTTTCTTCCGCGCAATGAGTTTGCTTTTTAATTAGAAGTTACAGTCAAACCTGTATTAAAAGACAATATTTTGGAAGTCCAAAAACCGATCTCTTAACATAGGTGTCTCTTAATATAGGTGTCTCTTAACATAGGTGTCTCTTAATATCGGTGTCTCTTAACATAGGTGTCTCTTAATATCGGTGTCTCTTAACATAGGTGTCTCTTAACATAGGTGTCTCTTAATATCGGTATAATTCATAGAGAAATCACTACAACGGGGAACATTCCTTAAGTGGTCTCTTAACACATGTGGTCTCTCATGAGTAGAAGTGGTGGCATGAGCAGGTTTGACTGTAACTGTTATCTAATGCTGATACATTTAATGTTAATTTTATGACCTTGTTACAACTATCCCACTATGTAATCACCTGTGTTATCTTTGCAGGTATGACCTTGATAACTCTCCATGGTCTTAAAGACTTTATCTGACCTTGACCTGACTTACCACTTTCGCTTTTCTCCACGACCTCCACCACCATGCCAGCCTTTAGGTTGAGGTCCCATTTGTCCTCCTTACTGTAATCTCCAATCACCACATATTCCTCCGCAAGCTTTGGGCCGGAGATCTTCTCTATGTTCCGATTCTTTGTCTTCATCCTGAGTCCAAAGAAATTCAGATAAAGTATGTCCATTCTCAAGTTATACACCTTCATCTATGTATCTACATATTAACCCTTTCAACCCTATGTAACTCAGAAGACTCTACCATGTATTGATGTGGAGGAGTCCATTACAGTCTACAATAGTGAAAGGGTTAAGTGTTTATTTCTTATTTCCAATCTTCATTAATCAAAATTTCTGTAGTTATAACTGTCCAGGGGCATTTACAAAAAATAGCAATTACCCTGGTACACCTTTAATTTGCTCAAAACTGTTATTGTTTTCTGAAACTGCTGTATTTGACCAAATCTATCTGAAAACACTTTTTGCTGATTCTATAACTAATTCTTGGCCTTTCATATCCATGCCAGCAAGCCAGCTTACGGCTCGGTCCTACTTAAAGCGTTTCATTTCAGATGTTTTATTTCCTGTCCACCAAAAACCTGTTAGTTTTCAGGACATACAATGTATATGACCCATCCTAAATTGAACAGGAAAATTACACAGAAATTGAAATAATAACAAGCCGTAGCTACCAGAGAGATAATATTTGTCAGATGTGATTAAATCGATAAAGCATAAAACAAAATTAAAAACCGGTATCATTGTAAAAAAAAACTCACCCGTAACACTTTGATATACAATGCAACAGATAAAATTAATTAATTTATAATTTAAAATACCAAGTTTAGAATTAATATTAATGTATACAGATTAAAACATATGGAAAAGGTATTTGTGGCCTAAAATCTTTGTATGATTTAATATCTGAAATAGATTTTTTTAGACTTCCTTATATGCAAATTTATGTAAAGCAAGAAACATAACTCTGTATTCTGTGTTCAATCACAAAAATGTCATTCAAAATGATTTAAAATAGAAATGTTACATACATGCTCTGAGTGTAGCGATATCCAAATTGTTTGATAAAAGAATCCATAGTTTTTTGTTCATAATGTTTCTATCTAAATCTCTGTAGGATACTCCTAGACACCTACTGCGTTTTTTCATTTGCTGGAACAATGTCCTCAGGTCCCACTTCAAAGAAATCCAAAACGTCCTCACCACGGGAGATTTTGGCAGGCAGTGTAATTAGAGCCTAAAACAGATATACCCAAAACACCTGGAATGCTGGCAGTATTCAACTGTAGTTCTTAACAAAAATGTCATATATGAGATATTTTACATTCTAATTTTAATTTCTGGCAGAGGAAGTTCAAAATACCTCTTGGTAACTATACCTGAGAACTAATGACAGGTTTATTTTTAAACTGTATTTATAAAATGACTGGTACATCTTTTTGTAAAGTAAATCTGGCTATCGGTAAATCAGATCTATACAAATGCATGCAGTTGCTATAATATAAAGTTACAATCTACAAATTTTACTTAATGACAAATTTCCTGTTCATTATACCAAGAAATAATGCTTCAATGAATAAGGAAGTCATTGACTCAAATATCCCTTATAGATATAAAAGAGGAAACACATTTCAAGTTTCAAGTGTGAAACAAGAGTTAGAAAACATTAGGCAGAAGCACACAATACAGTGTAGAAACCTAAGCAAGCTAATCTACTTCCTTGTGTATAAAGTTTACTATTCAAACACATACATACAACTTGCCCAATGTCCAAATACACATAAACAATCTTACTGATATCCAGATACATACATTCAGTCTGATTGATGACAAAAAATATACTCAAACTGAATCATGTTCAAATACACATTAGACAGCTTGATTGATGTCCAAGCACACATTCTTCATTCTTCATCTTCATCTTATTAACTTCCTCAGTCGATACCAACGATTACGGAAGTTTTCAATTTGAATGAGGTCTAAAAACACACATACAACTAAAGTGATGTCTAAACACACACACACAAACTGTCTGCTGTCCAAATACACACATACAAACTGTCTGCTGTCAAATACACAAATACCGGTACAACTAAAATGATGTCAAAATATACATATACTTCAAAAAACACACATACAACTTGAATGAAGTCGAAAAATCACACAGTTAAACTATGTGCAAAAACACATATATAACTTGAATGATGTCCAAATACACACATACAATCTGAATGATGTCCAAATACACACATACAATCTGAATGATGTTAAAATACACACATAATACTTAATAAGTGATGTCCAAATACACACAAACAACCTGACATGTGTCCAAATACACACAAACAAACTGAATGATGTCCAAATACACACAAACAACCTGAATGATGTCCAAATACACACAAACAACGGTCAACCTGATATATGTCCAAATACACACAAACAACCTGACATATGTCCAAATACACACAAAAAACCTTTCAAATTTTCAAATACACCCCATACAACTAAAATGTTGTCAAAATATACACACATACAACTAAAATGTTATCAAAATATACACACATACAACTAAGATGTTGTCAAAATATACACACATACAACTAAAAGGATGTCAAAATACACACATACAACTAAAATAATGTCGAAATACACACATACAACTAAAATAATGTCGAAATACACACATACTACTAAAAGGATGTCAAAATACACACATACAACTAAAATAATGTTGAAATACACACATACAACTAAAAGGATGTCAAAATACACACATACAACTAAAAGGATGTCAAAATACACACTTACAACTAAAACCATGTCCAGAACCTCATATACAACCTTACTGATGTCTAAACACACAAGTCATACAACATGTCTGATGTCTTAATACACATAAACAATTTAGCTAATGTCCAAATACACAGATGCAATCCATTTGATTTCAAAACACACACATACAATCTGAATGATGTCTAAATACACGTACACACATACAACCCACTTAACCTCCAAATACACACATACAAACTGACTGATGTCCAAATGCATTGATTTAAACCTTATTGTACCTTGCAGTAATCATTAATAGGCTGAAGTCTCTTCAAGGCAACATCCCGAATATGGCTCCTCCCAAAGTAGATCTTCCCTGTGTTTGCATTAAAAGGTCAATATAGCAGTAAGGCAATACTAGTACTAATAACAATAATATAACACTTCCGTAATTTCTGACTCACTATTTCCTTTCTACTTATGATTTGTACACTTTGAGTCATCAACGATTGTTTGAAATGTACAGTTACTCGTGCATTTTAAAACATAATAACACATGTAGATAAAAATATTATTACAATGACCTTTATAATATAGATGACCTATTTAATTTTACATCATGATCACCATATATTGCCTTCCATTAAGTCTTCATGATCAATATAATTTACACGGACCTGTGATATAGATAACTTATCACATTGTAAACTGTAATCATTATAGGTATATGACCTCCAACTAGGTCTTCTATGACCTTTACATTAGATTGACAGACCTAACTAATTTACATCATACAAAATTGCATTACAGCTATGACCTTTAATAAGGTGTTCAATGACCTTCACATTAGATTGATCAAATTATTTTACATCGTGCATGATTATATTAGAGATATGGCCTTGAATTAGGTCTTCAATGACCTTTTCATTGATCCTGAATGAGGTCTTTAGTAATTTAACATCTTCATTAATTTATAAGATAGATGAAATATTTCCTTTGTCATAATTATAGATACATCTGTGACCTTTCTTCATGTTTTCAATGACCTCTACACTGATCTATAATATAGATGACCTATTTAATTGTAAACTATTATCATTACAGCTATGACCTCTAATTAGGTATTCAATGAACTGTACATGAGATCTATAAGATAGACCATATATTTCCCTTGTGATCATTTACAGATACATGGTCAACCTTTCATCATAACTTCAATGACCTTTACACACAAAAAGAATCTCTGATGATCTCAGGTACATAGTGACTTTAACACTAAAATGATCTCTAAGTATCTTTAAATAACTACCTGTAAAAGACCTCTGGTCAACTGGTCATCTCTTGTACATGTATTGGCATTTACTTAGAAATGACCTCTTGTAACCTCTACATTATTTATACACAGAAATTACCCCAGGTCATCTCTACAAAATGACCATCACACAAGACTTGAGATTTCTTAGTATGCATGTGAATAAGCTTTCCTTTTATCTTGCATGAAATTAATTAACCCCAGTGACCTCCAGCTGTCCTTACACCCTATAAGCTATATTTAGAACATAACTTATTCCTTAGGTACTGATTTGTTTGTTTGGTTGATTAAGTCTTAGCAGCTAATTATAAACAGGGCAAAAGGATAGAAATAAGTAAACATAAGTGTCTGTCAGGTGAAGAATCTGGAAGCTAATAAGCTGTAGTAAAAGGATCAAAAAGGAAAAGATAAAGACTTCAAGTATCCCGGTAACTTAATTAGTCTCTTTAGTGTTTCCTAAGCAGATATAGAGCATAGAAAAACATGAGGCCCATAGGGCCTACAAATCACTCACCTTACCAGAATATTACCTGTTGTAACACATTTATTTGACACATGTGGCCTTTCATATATTGTATATATACATATCTATATCAACTGCAAGGTAATCCAATGTTTTCAAAATTTACTAGCCCATTTAACCAGCAAGCTGCATGTCCTTTATTATGATCCTAGATATTTTGGTTCTAAAGAAGAAGTTATTTGAAACCTTTTTACATGTTTTACCCTGTAACAGTGATGTTTCTGCAAATACAATCACAGGCCAAATTTCATTAACCCAATGCATGCATCTTGGTTTATTTGCAGTATTTGGTACCAAAATGTGTACCTAGTTTATTAGCAATAACATACTTCTACATATCACTTCTCTAGGCCTCATATATTTGTCATCATAAGAAGTTATAACACATTGGATCCCTGTGACCTTAAAGGTGGGTTGAAGTAATTTATTTTCCAAAACTTGATTATTGTGCAAACTACAGGCCAACCAGACTACAGGGAAGGTACTTGTAGTACCACGATTGATTGATTGATGAGGCTTTACATCCTTTTCGTGGAATTTATATCCCCCGCTTTCAGGACATATTGTAGGTAAACATCATTGAGGTTAGGTTTAAACATGTGAATATCGTGCTGCTGAGACATGATGTATAGCTTGAAACTTGAAGAAAAAAAACCCTTATCTAATATTTGCTAGAGTTATTTAAAGCGGAAACTGTAGATAATGACTCTGCCAAATGGAGTCCAATTAAAGAAGTTGTCAAACTTGGCCGAGTCCTTAACGCGTTAAACCCTGTTACTAAGTTTGAAGACAATCGGATACTATTTGCGAGAGTTAATGAACAGAAACAGAAGATAATAATGTTTTTCGTCATTTAAGGGGCCATAACTCCGTCAAATGGGGTCTGCTGAAAATGGTCATCAAACTTGGCTGAGCCCTTAAGACATTTAACCCTGGTACAAAGTTTGAAGAAAATTGGTTTACATTTGTTGTTGTTATTGCACCAAATGGGGTCCGCTGAAAGTGGTCATCGAACTTAGCCGAGCCCTTAATTAAGGCATTTAACAAAATCTTGTCAAATACCTACACCACAGGGAGTTGAGTTTTTAACTCTTGTCCAGTACATAACATATCCAGTATATACACTAGTGTGTTTGTGTGTGTGGAGTGGGGGGTATCCCAAACCTTGTCCTGTGTCCCGTACACTACACAAGGGGGAAGACAGGATTATATAAATAAAGACCAGAACTCTTGTTTTAGACAAGTTACAGTGCATGTTACTACACAACGGAAAACATCTCATACCTGTTTTAAATGTATTATGATAAGATCAGGTTCCATAGCCCTTGTATACAGTACATACTAACTGAGATAAACATGTAATAACCCTAAACCCCTGTATACAGGTAATAGCCCTTGTATACAGTACATACAAACCGAGATAAACAGGTAATAACCCTAAACCCCTGTATACAGGTAATAACCCTGATGTACAGAAAATAACCCTTATATACAGGTAATAATCCCAATATACAGGTAATAACATCTGCATACAAGTAATAACTCCTGAATAAAGGTATATGTAATAACCCTTAGCTTGGATACAGGTAAATAACCTGGAATACAGGTATTATGATATATAAATAAACCCTGTTGACCAGTAATAACCCTTCAATACAGGTAATAATCCCTGTATTTAGTAATACACCGATGTGCAGATAATTACCCCAATATTACAGGTAATAACCTCTGTATACAGGTAATAACCTTGATTTATAGGTAAGTATTCCGGAGCATACAGTGTAAAGATGATGAGCGGATACAAACATATGTCTAGTACGTATATATGTACATTAATTTGCAGATTTTTTTTGTGTGAAATTTGGTGACATCCAAATCAGCAGCAAATGAATGCTAGCCTTGACCTTGTTATAGCTACGGTATATGTTGAACACTTACATTGTACGTGTACAGTTCCAGGTACAAATCATGTTCTTACAACTTTACATATATGTATAGAATAAAAATCTGCATTTCATATTAATACCATAGAATACTGTATATCATTGAAAAACCATTCTTTTATTTACATAAGCATATTCCTGTATATATCAATATGATACTATTCTTATTAACATTTGTAACACTGATTGTGATATTCATGCCAATTATTATGACTCACTCACAAAAAGCTACTATAAATAATGTGAAAAACATACACGTACATGTAACTTCCTCAAAAATACATTATCAACCATAAGTTAGCTTCAAAGTGTACTCGACCTATGTCACAACAGATATCCATTACAATTTTTTTAATTTGTCCTTTTTTTTCCTCAAAGCATTTATCTGTGATATCTTTCATACTTGGCAAGCTTATAGAAGTACTCAGTCTAACCTACCTGGCAAAAATGGTATAATCCTTTTCATAGGATCAAGCAGGCCTGCCTCCAAGGGAAACTTGTCCAGTAGTTCATTCTGTTAAATTGAAGAAAGTAAGATGTTTGTGATTGCAGGGTTGGTAAGAATCACCTCTGACGGTAACACCATGTGACGTTAGATACGACCAGACCACAGGACTTCCTCAAGGACTTATGTCAACAGGGGGAAGCAAAGATACACTTATGTGTTTACTCTAAAAGCAATAACAGGTTATGTATGGTACAAAATACAAAACCACTATTGTTATTTCTCTTAGGATATACCGTAAACATTTTACCATACATATTATAACTGCTGAGAAAAGATAAAATAACATAAGTGTGAATGATAGATGTGAATCCTTACCAATTAAAACAGTGCATAACCTTTGGAATACTAGATCACATGATTAAAAAGAATTTGGAAAAGGCCCAAGTTTCAGAACTTTATTCAAATCCTTCCCATCCCATTTGCTTTCAGGTCTAAAATTGGAATAAATCCAAATCTCTCATTTTTAACGAAAACAAGAGCAGGATCGATATCCTGCTTTTATGATATGTGAATCTTCATATAACAGTGACATATAGAACATTTTGTAACACTGGGTTACTGTGGGGCTTGTTTAAGGCATACAAAAATAAAATGTAAGCTTCAAAGAACCATAACTCTAGTAAAAGTTGACATAGGATCCTGTTCTTATGATATATGCAAAGACACATAAAACAAAAAAATGGCAACATTGCACTCACAAGAAAAATCTTAACAATCAAAGGATAATAACTCTGGTAAATTTTTTTTGCATGATCATGTTTTCAAGCAATGTGAAACATGAAATATCTGTAACACATAGGTCTGTAAACTATGGGACTATATATCGTGGCATTAACAAGAAAGAATTACAAAGTTTTAAAGGGCCATAACTCTTGCAAAAAGTGGAGCAGGATTCTGTTTTTACGATATGCAAATCTTCATGTGATTCCCCTAACACATACACATTTTGAAGCAGTTCTGTCTCGGTTGAAAACTGTAAGACAAGTTGCACTCACAGGAAAGTGTTGAGGGATGGACCTCTGGCATGATAGCATAACATGCTCCATTTTGTGGGTGTATAAAAAATCCCTTTCTGCAAATGAAGGCAATTAAAGCTTGCACACACACACACACACACACACACACACACACACACACACACACACACACACACCTATGGATCAGCCACTAGGAAAAGTGTGTCTGATCATGATCTTTTAGATAACATGAAAAATTATTTATGGCATATCTTACAATACACGCATTGCATAATCATTAGTAATAAGTACTAGTGCTTTTTGCTCATTATTCAGGGCCAGCTGCACCAGCCCCCATTAACAGGCTCTTTCAGCAGGGAATTTTCACCTTAATTATTTAGGATATAAATTATAACAAAACAAATTTTAAATTCAGCAGTGCTCATCAAATAAAGATATAGAATAAAATTTGCATTTTTTTTTTTTTGATGCATCACAGCCGTAAACCAGCAGTTAAAATAGTGCATTACATCTAGTATTTACCTTTATGTCTGTTTCCTCATAAGGTACATTAACATCATTAACTGATTACAAATCCATTTTAAAATAATATTACTGCAATGCTTTCTAGTCAAACATGTGAATAATACATTACTTTATTTTGGTTTTCCATCTGACATATATAACCCTAATTACATTTGATAATTTCATTGTTAACTTACAATTACATCTGGTTAATCTGGTTAATGAAGATAAGATACCTTACTATTCTTAATGTAATTATACTTGCACAGAGATTTGATTCCTATTTTTACTGAAAATCCATTTCTGCTTAAAATCTCCAGTATCAATTCTAATGTACATGCCACATGCCATGCTATTTATCATGCCCCTTCTCCACCTCACCCCCTCCCCTTAACATGCAATACTATTTGTTTGTTCAGAAATCATTTAGCAGATATCTTTTATGAGTAATAGTATCAGTCTTGATTAATTATATATGCATAATGATTTGATTACAAATTGTTAAGTTATTGAAGTAATTTTAAATTATTATAACTAAAATGTTAATTAAACTAGTAATGGGAGATAGCTCTAGCATAAATTCATGGTAGCGTACATGTACATCCTTAAGTGGGCCAGAGCTTGAATCAGCGCTTATATTAAATGACATGGTTTTTCTGTGGCATGAAGCAAACAAGATAAATTCCACTATTTAGAACTCAAGATTCTTCATTGAATGATGTCTGTCTCTTCAAGGATTTCTCTCTATAACACGCAGGTGAAAGGTTGGCAAGACACTAAGTGTGCTACTTTAGGAAGTATTCAGTAAATAAATAGGAACCAGTATTTTATGTTGCTTCAGGAATGGATGTAATTTAATAAAGAAGAACTAATAAACAAGAATATTTAATCAACCCTACACAGATACATTTATACAGGTAACCTGAACTTGTCCCTGCCATGTATATATGCCTGTAGGGGAACTGACTGTTTGGACAGCATTGATACACATTAATCTGTGTGATAACCCACAGGTATGCTGACCACCATCTAAATTAATATGGGGATATAGCATATACGGTAATACATTGACCAGGAAACTTTAAAACCTAAGTTCACAATTTACTAGACCTGTGACGAGATGTCTTCATAATCAAAATTACAATAATGTCAAACTTACCGTATCTAGTGCACTTATCTAATTGATTACAGGTGTTACAAATTAATAAGTTCACTTACCTGGAAATCAAAGAACCGGCTGTACCTCCTGTACAGGCATGTGATAGTGTGATCTGACCAGGTAACGTTGACGATGTATACCTGTCAAATAGGTAAGCACAAAGCTATGTAACAGGTGATGGATCTTACAGGGAACCTATCAGCACATACAGGTGTGATTAATTAGTCTGGTCCTACTACATTACAACAACTCTCATTTTAATCATATTCGCATACTATTTTCTATTTGTAAAATGGCAATGTATATAGTGTCTTATAGTATCTATTACCAGTTCTTGATATGACAATATGACGGTAAAAGAAAGTAACTCTCTCACTTTTATTTAGCTGTACATGTATGTTTTATGTCTGAAGAAAAACTCTTTATCAATGACATTAGTTATAAATCATATCATTTATATTCCTACTGACTTAATTTCATACAGACAACATAATTTGATGGTCATTGATGAGAAAAATACATATCATACAGAAGACACAATGTGAGGATTTGTAGAGCTGTATATTACACTGATATACAGTACAGTGTGATAGTCGGTTAATCACACCAGCTGTGTCTATTCTCATGAACGTTCTAGAGTAGCCTTAATTTGTTTACATTTCTGCTGACTGGTGATTCATCTTTCCTTTTCCACTTGAAAATGTGTTTATTACATGTACAATATGTGTAAGCTAAAATTATGTGGTCATATATGTTACATGCAGATTCAGTTAAGATAAGTACATGTACACTGAACTACTTTTGAATGCAAAAAGTTCAAAAACTAATAGAAAACAATACAAAGTCCATGGACCTTAAATTAACTCTGAAACTTATTGAGGTTAAGAATCCCTTCATCTGTAATTAGGAATTAGGATTTCAAAGATTTACCTATATTTCCTTTAAGTGGGCCTCCCCCTCTGCCCTAATGGGAACCACACCTGTTTTTATAACCTTGGGTCCCCTAATAGCCTTCAGATAATTCACACCGATTCGGTTGGATCCTTTTACAAGTACATATCTTTTTGTATGTCAGGAGTAGGAATACTAGATTTAACTTGAAGCATGGGCTTTACGAATGCCCTTGCTCACAGCATTTCTACAAAGTCTAAGATATGCTGGGAAAATCTGTATTACACAGTATTTAAGGAATTGCGGTCAAGGTCAAATATAGGTCACAGTGACCTTATTTAGGATGCGACATACATCCTTACCATGATATATCATGTACCATCATGTGAAACAGCAGCAACGATATTCTCCGGAAACCATTAAATTAGTACTGGAGTTCAAGGTCGAATTGAGGTCACAGTGACCTGGTTTTATGATGTTACACATGTACACTGCCTCCCATGATGTATACCTATATATACAAAGTTTGATGCCCATTCTTGAAACAGTGTCTGAAATATAATCTAGAAACGATTATTTTAGTACTTATAAGTTTAGATCAGTCAAACATCCAATTGAGGTCATAATGACCTGGTTTTAAGATGTGACACACCATCTTCCAATAATACATATGTTCCTTCAGTATATATACATGTACGTTTGATGCCCATTCATGACACAGTGGCAGAGATATGCTCCAAAAACCATTATTTCAGAACTTGAAGTAAGGTCAGAGGTGAAATAGAGGTCACAGTGACCTGAATTTAGAATGTGACATATCACCTTCCACAATATAACTATGAACAAAGTCTGATGCCGATTTGTGGCACAACAGCTAACATGATAAGACACAGTTTGCTCTGGAAACAAGCAAGAAGGTGGGGTGGGGGTGGGGGGGTATAATTAAAATGTATCTATGTTTCATTTATTTGGCCTCGGTCTTCTGCCTCTAGATAATGAACAACACCCTCTATTAATAAAATGTTGAGTTGTACATCTTTAATGTAAAGATCACTTATATTACTTAAATAATTTATAAAAGTAAAGGTATTTAATGAACAAACCTAACATTAAACATTAATGTGTAAAAACAAAACCTTTGTAAAATACATCACCTTCATAACCATAAATATAGTAATACATTATATAGTATCGACCGATCCCTTTTTCGAGGCAAATAACTACGTATGTATGATTACAATACAGTTGTATACAACACTATACAACTAGATATATACCTACACATTTATACAAATACTATCCTGTTGATTATTGAATCTTTACATAATATTTAATACACACTTTTCAGTATACAGTCTGTCCTATTTGAAAATAATGGCTATAGGTCAAAATGACATCTCATAATCTGTAATCTACCTGCAGCAGGTGTTGTAGACCAATCTTATACTATAAACAATGCATGTAAAGTTGGTAATTAGTTCTAATGTCAACAACGGTCGTTCCCGTCAACTTACATAGTGTTTACTTGGTATTCGTCTCTTCTCCACGTCTGGAACCGATACTTCGGTTATCCATCGACTTTCCTTCCTCTGCATTTTACTTTTTAAGATTCAAATAACCTAAACATGATGTTGATACACCTTTTCATCAATTTACAACCATTTCCGCATAAGTTCATGACCCCAATAATGGTAGGTATATTCTGAGTCATAGGAAAGCTTCTTACGACGTATTAGAAAGAGTTGTCTCGCTTCTCCCAACATTCACAAGAATGCGTGACGGACACTATTGCATGACAAAAAGTCATTGTCATTTACATATGACTCAGCCGATACTATATAGTTGCTGGAAACACTCGCACTCTTTTTTTCACCACAATTAATCTGGTTCATTATCGTAGTAAAATCACGGAATTAGATTTTTGAATCCACGTTTAGTAAAATTTTATCATACCCAGTGATAAAAAATCTATCTGATACCAGAGACGTATACTACATACTACAAGCAAAATGTGTTTTAATTTGATAACCATAAAAATGGCATGAAAAAATATTTACTGAGTCCAGCAAAAGCATGCCCGCTACATTTTTTATCCGTGAATATACACTGACTGTACCACGTGACTGTACATAGTGATTACATAAACAGACTAAAATAATCACATCCTATTATTAAATTGTTTCTCTCCTTTAAACATATAAGTAGACCTTATATCTTATTACTTTCAACCATGTATAGACTAGCAATCTAATAAATTACAAGGAAATAGTTATAGAGTTGTGATTTTATCCATTCCGAGACATGTATGTACGTCTATAATCAATTCCGTTTAAAATTATAATGCTCTTTTAGACCATGCCACTGACGATTACAAATATAGCAACATTAATATTGGCTCCTCCGTTCTAGCAGCCAGACATGGACGTAGTATTGGTATATACGTCTCTAGTTCTAGAAAGACGCTTATTGAAAGGCGGCAGATATATATGTGACCAGGACTCGCTAGAGAATGTCTTGTATACGGAAACGGATCAGTATAAGTTACATGTAAAAATCACAACGGTGAAATTACAATTTTGATATACATAGATTTTTTTTTGTCTCATTAGTTTTAGAAAATCAAGCATAATGTTCAATTATCCAAATCCTGCCCGTGGAATGTACCCACAGCNCCTCTGCCCATGCCACCCCCTCCCCCCCAATTTTTTTATATTGGTCGAGGAGTCCCAGACTATATACTGTATGTTCCTCTGTCCCTCGACAGACATGTCTCCGATGAGGAAACATTTTCTGCTTATTTATAGAAATATAACCTGATATAAAACCAGAGACATATAAAGCCATAGTAGTATAATATATGTACGTCTCTTATAAAACTATAGAACTGTTATCATCAATTGCTAACATCAGCAGGGCAATTTCCAGTTGTTATTTTTATCTTAAAATTCCAAATAAAACCACCTAAAAAATAGCTTTAAAACATTTCATTTGCAATATATACGACTCGTGATTTCTGATGAGCACATGGCAGTGTTTAAAATTTCCCGCTAAATATATGAGAGCTCTTTTAAATTGGAGGTAATATTATCACACGTTCCGTAAAATAAACTTCTTTTTTAAACTAAAAACATTTTTTTTTTAAATGTTCTACTGATGAATAGTATTGGTATTTGGATAGATTATTGTTGAAGACAAATATATTTTTAAATAATAACCTATATGTATATTATATTTAGTGCTGAACCACAGTTTCCCATGACAACGATTGTATACATGACACACAGACAGACTAACATTATTAGGACTCGGAGATAAAAACAACAAGACACAATGTCTGAGGTGAGTTAATTTATATGCATTCAAATAGATTTAAAATATGCTAATATTTATGGTTTTCAAAAGTGTTTATTTTTCAGAAGAAAATTCTTTTAACTACAAAAGTTTACGCGATACAACATAATCATCAGATCATGTATCGTTTTGCAAGTGTCATCCAGTCATCGTAACGCTATCTTAGATCCACAGGCGCTTGTATCTGGTATTTAATACCCGAGTTAAAATCCAAAATCTACTACTGTGCCTGTGCTTCGATCAAACCATGTATAAACAGTAATGTTGTCTTACCATTGGATATTTGATATTTTCAGGAAAAGAAAGATAAGGAAAAAACTGGGATAGATGACAGTGCTTTTGAGTCACTGGAAAAGGATTTTCAGGAGGTAAGTGAAAAAACACTAACAGAACGTACTATAGCAGCAACACTTGTAACACTTTAACGATTACTTATGTTAGATTGCTAATTTGCAAAGTTATTGCAAAAACACCCCTCCGAATTATAAGTGTGTTTAATTTATATCTTGTTATACTGTCACAAAAAATGGTTCATCTTAACCCCAGCTAAAATGAATGTTTTCTAGTATATCAGCTCTTTTACAATCAAATTTCAAAATCTAATGTGATAAAATTGTGATGTTATCTCTTTTATATGTTGGACTTATGTATGTGGTAGGTATATCTCCTTTATCTGAATAAAATAATGATAAGATACATTGTGTAAATAACCATCTTAAAATGGTAGATAGTGACGGGCAATCTGTAAACCATCCTCTTTTTCACAGGTCCTTCAACAACTTACCGGTGACCGAAGCTTGGAGAAGTTCAGGTCTGAATATGAGAAGCTTCACAAGGCTCTAAAGAAATCACATGAAAGTGAGAAGCGGTTAATGCAAAAATGTCGAGAACTAAATGCAGAGATTGTTGCCAACTCCGCAAAAGTTGCGACGGCACTGAAGCTATCACAAGAGGACCAGAATACCATAACCTCATTAAAAAAGGTAAAGTCTATCTCACAGAAAAATGGATATTTATAATGCTAAAAATGTTGAAATCAAATATGACATTCATAGAAAACAGATAAAGTTTTCTTCAAATTTAATTTTTGTACCCTTCAGCTATTGGTTACTGGAGAAAACGAAAATAAAATATTTTCTGGAAGGATATGTTTCTTTAAATACTGATCATTTCTATGTTTAAATATTTTCTAATAATCAATCTACCCCCATATATAGAATTAAAGTACATGGAATTTATGATTTCAGATTGTCAGAACCAATGTGTCAGCTCCACTATATTAAAACTTCGTTTATAAAATATTTGTTTACCGGTATGAAACACAAAAAACAACCGTTTCACAAAGTTCTATAATAAATGATTTCAGGAAATAGAGAAAGCATGGAAAATGGTTGATGCTGCACACGAAAAAGAGACAAGGGCTAGAGAAACAATTCAGTCTCTGAAAATGGAAATTGCCAACCTTAGCAAACTTGTGGAACAGGGAGCAGGTCTGACCATGGGGCAAGAACACAGGTACATGTCCAAGTTGACCAAAAATATTTATGTTTCTGATTTCTAGATTTTGGAATTGTAAAATTGTTAACAGTTCTTGAAACATACATCATCTGGTAAATCATAAAACGTCAACTGAAAAATCGTTCAATATATAAGAATAGTTAATTGGTTTAAATAATTAAGATGGAAAAGATGAGATTTTTTTTTAGATGAACAAAATTATCACACAGGTTTATATCTATATTTTAAAATTATATTCATGGATGTAATATCCACTAATAAAGCTTGGTGTGGGAATGTTGACTGGTGAAATGATATAGATGATGATTTATTGTAGTGTGAATGAGCTGTTAAAGATTAAAGAGGATCTGACAAAGGAACGAGATGAGCAGCTTGGTGAGATTGTGAAACTGCGTGAAAACCTTGCCCAGGCATCAGCCCAACAACAGAAGTTAGAACAGGACAGATCTGAGTGTGAGGAGAAGATCCAGGAGGTAGGGAAATGGCTAAACTTGGCAACTCATTAATGATATATATTGGTAGTTACCTTTCTGGATCTTAGAGACTGACACACACAAGCATTTGATACCCTCTTGGTGGTAAATGCCGTTTACTGACATTTGTCACATGACCAACCATGGTCATCTTCACATGTAAAAAGGTCCAGAAAGATTGCCAGGATCCAGTAGCCGCAGTCTTTGTTGTAAAGGTGGGGGCACAGGGTTTCAGTGGTCTTTCATATTGTCTTTCTTAATTTGTTGTCTTTCCTTTTGGTGTTGTTGATGTATACTGTGTGACTAGTGTAAATGTCCGTAAACTGTTGATAGGACGTTAAACCCATACAACCAACCAACCAGTGTTTAAGATGGTCCCCTACTGTTGTGATGGAAGTTCTTCTGTCTAGTGTTGCTATGCTCCTTGAACTTCTGGTGTTGAACATTCTTGTCTTCCCCGTGTAATCTTTGCCATAGGCACAGCACTGGAACCTGTACACTTTTCGACACGTTTCCATTGGTATGGGGCATTTAAGGTGGACCGTGATCTGATAGTGTTGTAGGGATTCCCTAACTGTTTAATTTTCAACACTTTAGTGAGTTTCTCTAAAAGGCTTTTAATGGACGCAAGGGAGAGGAGTGCTGTTGTAACATTCCATTGATTACTTAATACATGTTAAGATTTATCAGGTACAACATATGAGAAAGAAATAATATTAAATAATACATACTATGTGTATTGTTTCAAATTTAAATGAAATAAAGTTCAACTTGTTACCCATTTTTAAAGAATAATACATGGGTTGAAATCAAAATGTTTGAAACGAAAGAATATTTTCAAAACACTTCAGATTTTTTTTTTATTAATGAACATTGCAATGATTGCTTCTTCAGCTAAGCCAGGACATCCAGGTGCGCAACAATGAAGCTCAGCGGGAGTCTCGCAAGAAGGACAAGACAGAGCGCGAGTTGAAGCAGGCTAAGGCTGACCTCGACTCCAAGTCTGGTGAGATTAAGACCATGCAGACACAAATTGGGCGCTACAAGGAAGATGTCGGCAAGCTGGAACAACAACTCAAGGAACAAAGGGTGAGATGGTTGGGACAGAATGAGCTATCTGTTCTATAAGATTCTATTGAAATTAATTACCAGTATAGCAGGACATGTAATGTTGTTTTTGTTTTAATTTTGTTTTTAAACTTTTTGTTGATGTTTTAGTTGGATTATTTTGCTAAACTTTGTTTCTTCCACATCAGATTCTGAATGAGAGAGCTCTTAAGGATTGCGACATCCTCAACACAAGGTTCCAGAAACTGCAAGGTGAATACGAAGGTCAACTCATCACAACTGACCAGCTGACAGCCGAAAACCAGAACAGGGTGTCGGAACTTAAGGTATTAAAGCTTCTAAAAACTTTAAAAATATGCTGACCCTGTTGAGTTTATAGAAAAAAATCTGTCTCTGAACATTTGAATAATTATTTGAAAGTTAAACAGTTCAAGCACAGCCAAGTCTTAAGTTTGATTAAAAACTATTTCTTTAGATTTAAAATGATGTTAGAAGATTCTTTGGGCTGAACTAACAATGTTGAAATCGACATGTCATTATTTTGTAATCCACATATCAGTTAAAATATCTAATTCTTGTGCTGGTGTACTCTCATTTTAGTGAAATGTAGGTAAAACATGTCTCTTGTGAGTTTGGTTACCTTTCATGTGTCATTGGTTTTAAAAATTTAGCAAAAAGAGGATGAGGTGAACCAGCTGAAACAGGAGACTCAACGCCTCAACAAGATCCGAGAGACAATCCAACGTAAGCTGAGGAATGTGGAGGACCAGAAGGGTGATGTGGAACAGCAGAAGGAGACCCTGAAGAGTCAGATCATTGGGCTGGAGAGAGGTGAGCACAGATCTCACAAGTTCATATCTGTATCAGAGAGATTTATTTTTTCTGCATATTCTATTTCATTTTTTATAATTGCTTAAAAACAAAGTTTTTAGTACATATATATAAAGCAAATAAATTGGGTTTAACCTTACTGACATGTGATATCTATTATCAGAACTTGAGGCATCCAAGAAGCAGGCTGAGCTGGACAAGAAGCAGATAGATGACCTTGTGAGGGAGAAGGACATCCTAAACAAGGTGAGGGGACATTTTCTCACGTGTAAACAATACAGTGCATTTTCTCCATTTTGTCAAAAATCCAAATGATCTTTTGAAGCAAAGGTATAATTCATCTCTTTCGTGCTTGCTATAAGCATGGTGTCCCTAAAACTTCAGAATATTGATGGGACTTTGTTTGCTTTCTCAGAACATGTTGAAGGCAATCAGCTCCACACAGAAGCAGCTGCACTTGGTGAAGCTCCATGAGCAGTCCAAGAAAAACCTTGAACAGGACATCCAGAACTACAAGGAGGAGGCTCAGAAACAGAGGAAGATCATCTACCAGCTGGAGAAGGAGCGTGATCGCTACATCAACGAGGCCAGCGATCTCACACAAAAGGTAAGTTCAACTTGTTGGTAAATTTTCAGTTGTTGAAACGTGCTTAAACAGATCAAATAGAGAATCAAGACATCATTGGAGATTTAATTCTTACTTCACAACTTAACAATATTTAAAGTTTGAAATGTCGGATATACTTTCAGTATTGGTAACACCATATGGTTAATAAATCCACTTCTCTAGATGTGTTAAAGAAACCATGTGGTTTTAAAAATTTCTGATGTTCAAGGAATGCCAAGAGAAATAGAAATATTTTAAAGGTAAATTTTGAAAATAGTTTTTTCTTTCTTCTGAATACTACTACTAAATATGTGAACACTAAGTTAATGGCTTATATAACACTGTACACTGCAGTAACCAAAGTCTAGAACTATAGTTACCTCTGTTTTACCTGTAGGTGCTTGGTCACATGGAAGACGTGAAGGTTAGAGAGATGCAGATTTTCGACTACAAGAAAAAGATTGCAGAGGCTGAGACCAAACTGAAGCAGCAGCAGAACTTGTATGAGGCTGTGAGAAGTGACAGGAACTTGTACAGCAAGAATCTGATTGAGTCCCAGGTACAAATGTTAACATTTTCGTATCTATACATATTGATAGCTAATCAATATAATTGGACTGCAAATTACAAGTACAATGTATTTTAATAGAGAATCTTTTGATTTTCGTGTTTTGACTTCCATTTTGTTTACATTAAACTTGGTATTATATTATTTAGAGAATTTCATTTGTGATGAAAGTTATCACAGTGACTAAAATTGAAAAAAATAAAGGAAACGGTTTCAATTTTTAAAGTTAAAATTTTGACTGCACAAAGTTTCCAGAAGCTGCATTAATATTGTTAATGACCAACCTGTTATTACTCCGCCTTCAGGATGAGATCACAGAGATGAAGAGGAAGCTGAAGATCATGAACCACCAGATTGATCAACTGAAGGAGGAGATCCAGGCCAAGGAGGCGGCCCTTGTCAAGGAACATCTGGAGCACCAGCGTGTCGAGAAGGAGAAGGACACCCTTAAGGGCGACCTCAACAAGATGAAGCAACAGGCTGCAGAAAGTAAGGCTTACATCGACGCTCAGGAGGCTGAGGAGAGGAAACTCCTCAAGATCATCGCCGAGGCTGACGCAGAGAGAGTCAGACAGAAGAAGGAACTTGACCAAGTGAGTTATTGCAATAGATATCATTTGAACATGTATAATACAAAGTTTTTGAATGTAATAGGATGATATTTTTGTCTAATTTGTTGTATTTTACAGTTAATATGAGATATCAAACTGTTGTTGGTCAATAAGTTCATAAAAATGACACCTATATAGTTTGAAAAAACTGAAATTTTGTGGCACAAAACAAAGGATTTTGTTGTAAATGTAGGTGATCAGCGAGCGTGACATCCTGGGAACACAGCTGGTGAGGCGTAACGATGAGCTGGCTCTGCTGTATGAGAAGATCAAGATTCAGCAATCAACACTCAACAAGGGTGAAATCCAGTACAACCAGCGTCTGGAGGACATCAGGGTCCTCAAACTAGAGATCAAGAAACTCCGCCGCGAGAAATCCATCCTCAACAAGAGTGTTGCTAATGTTGAAGACCTCAGGTGAGGAATGCTTGTTTTGAGTCTAATATAGTCATTCGGTACAGGAACGTTTATAAGTGATTTGTATAGATACAAAACCAAGATTCTTGTTTTGTTTTGATGACAAATTTCTCGTTCTAAATTCTGGTAGATGTTTTCTTTCTGACTGTATGCTCATTTGTAAAATGCTGTATCATTGTTGACCCCCAGGCGAGAGGTCCACCACATCCAGACAGAGCTGCTGCGTGAGCGGACTCGCTGTAAGGCTCTGGAGGAGGAGCTGGAGAACCCCATGAACATCCACAGATGGAGGAAGTTAGAGGGCAGCGATCCAAGCACCTACGAGATGATCCAGAAAATACACACCCTCCAGAAACGTCTCATCTCTAAGACCGAGGAGGTGGTGGAGAAGGAACTACTGATTCAAGAGAAGGAGAAACTTTACTTAGAGCTGAAACACATCCTGGCCAGACAGCCAGGACCCGAGGTGGCTGAACAGCTCCAGATCTACCAACAAACACTCAAGGAAAAGACAAAACAGATGAAAGTAGGCACAATCTACCACTGTATACTCTCAATCACCTATATATTAACTTAAAATCTTATTCCATGAGGCTCCTGTGAAACATTTGAAATATTGTAAAAGTGTCTGTGTATCCTTGAAGATTCAGTTTGCATTGGGTTTATGATAGTTGAGTTAGAAAATGATTTTACTTAATCCGTTGATTAACTTTATTCTGAAATTCTGTTGTTTCTGTTTTTTTCAGTCAATGTCTTCTGAACTGAATATGTACGAGTCCCAGGTGAACGAATACAAATACGAAATAGAGAGAATAGCGAGGGAATTGGTGGAAGTCAAGAAAAAGTACTTTATGCAGAAAAAGAAGGAGCAACAGACAAAGTAAGTTCACAGCACATTGACTGTGACAGCACTATCTAGTCTGAATCTATGTCACATGTTGAAGCATTGTGAGGCTATATACTAGTCAAGTTGAGTTGAAAATTCAATCTTAAATGCTGGCTTGTAATTGAGTCCGTTACTTTGTATCCAAATCAAACAAAAGATAAAAATGTTGTTATTGTATTTGCTGAAAATGAATTGATTGACAGTGGGTTTTTTTGCAATGATCAAAGTGCAGTCATTATGAACTGTTTTTAATGAATATTTTTATTTCAAATGTTTTGTTGCATTTTAATGGTTAAGTCAGAGCGCAGACCTTGGTGTTTTAGTACTGGTATCCTTCTATCTTCACTGAAACAAAAACTAAGTTTGGTATTGTCTGTTTCATTGAACACAGGGAGAGGGAGAGAGCTATAAACCAGGCCGGAGGTCCCATTATACAACCCCAGCGAACGGAAGGTCCTCGCTTCACGGGCGGGGGATTCAACCTCAAGTCTACAAAGACTGCCGCATGACATGCCTAAAAGTGCTCACCATTCTGTCAGATATAAACTGTCTACACTTTATACGAAAAACACTGCTATCACCACAGGATTGTTTCAAGATGTTAATTGGATATCATTAAGAATAACTGCATCAGTAATATCATTAAGTTATGAATAAATGATGCAATAAAAACGAACATTTCTATGAGACCCACATTGAATATCAATGTTCTGTTTAATAATATTGTAATTTAAGAAGAAGTGTATTTATCAAAATTTCACCAGCAGACTGTGATATGTTACTGATTTTGTATGCTTTAGTATGAAATCTGCTTAATAAATTCTTTTATGTACACATTATATATGTTGTTTGTTGCTGTAAGTGGTAATTACTGTTAGGCTTAATGAGAGGGAAAGATTATTGAGGAAGGAAATGTTCTGGACAGAGGTATGTACCGATTACCTTATTGAAAAAGGAAGTGATTGTTGCCTTATAGCAGGCACGTAGCTGCCTATATGCTTGTACGTGGGTGAATAAAACAAATGAAAAACACTGCTTATTGCACCTCCTTGTAATCGCTACTAAGACCGTACCGTGGACACGCTCCTGCATGAATCCACTCTGTACAAGGGCTGGCTACGCTTATGCCTTACAGGAAGAAGTACTTACCAGTTGCTTAAGAAAATTGGAAGAAGTAGTTGCTGGTTGCCTTATTCGAATAGACAGTTATATTTATATAATTACCGTTACATTATTGGATGAAGTAGTTATCAGTAGGCTTATTGGATGAGGAAATAAGGTAACAGGAAAAAATATTTACTGGTTGCCTTATTGGAAGAGATATGGTAATTGGTTGGGATAATTACCGATAGAGTAGGAAGATATGGTTACTTGTTTCCTTATTGAAAGAGGCAGTTACATGTTGCCTTATTGGAATAGGCAGTAACCGACAGAGCTATTGGAAGCAGTAGTTACCTTTCTCGAGGGGTCAGTTACATGTTGACTTATTGGAATAAGTAATTACCGACAGAGCTATTGGAAGCGGTAGTTACCTTTCTCGAGGGGTCAGTTACACGTTGCCTTATTGGAATAAGTAATTATCGACAGAGCAATTGGAAGCGGTAGTTACCTTTCTCGAGGGGTCAGTTACATGTTGCCTTATTGGAATAAGTAATTACCGACAGAGCTATTGGAAGCGGTAGTTACCTTTCTCGAGGGGTCAGTTACATGTTGCCTTATTGGAATAAGTAATTACCGACAGAGCTATTGGAAGCGGTAGTTACCTTTCTCGAGGGGTCAGTTACATGTTGCCTTATTGGAATAAGTAATTATCGACAGAGCAATTGGAAGCGGTAGTTACCTTTCTCGAGGGGTCAGTTACATGTTGCCTTATTGGAATAAGTAATTACCGACAGAGCTATGGGAAGCAGTAGTTACCTTTCTCGAGGGGTCAGTTACATGTTGCCTTATTGGAATAAGTAATTACCGACAGAGCTATTGGAAGCGGTAGTTACCTTTCTCGAGGGGTCAGTTACATGTTGCCTTATTGGAATAAGTAATTATCGACAGAGCTATTGGAAGCGGTAGTTACCTTTCTCGAGGGGTCAGTTACATGTTGCCTTATTGGAATAAGTAATTACCGACAGAGCTATTGGAAGCGGTAGTTACCTTTCTCGAGGGGTCAGTTACATGTTGCCTTATTGGAATAGGTAGTAATTACTGACAGAGCTATTGGAAGCAGTAGTTACCTTTCTCGAGGGGTCAGTTACATGTTGCCTTATTGGAATAAGTAATTACCGACAGAGCTATTGGAAGCGGTAGTTACCTTTCTCGAGGGGTCAGTTACATGTTGCCTTATTGGAATAGGTAGTAATTACCGACAGAGCTATTGGAAGCAGTAGTTACTTTTCTCGAGGGGTCAGTTACATGTTGCCTTATTGGAATAAGTAATTACCGACAGCGCTATTGGAAGCGGTAGTTACCTTTCTCAAGGGGTCAGTTACACGTTGCCTTATTGGAATAAGTAATTATCAACAGAGCAATTGGAAGCGGTAGTTACCTTTCTCGAGGGGTCAGTTACATGTTGCCTTATTGGAATAAGTAATTACCGACAGAGCTATTGGAAGCAGTAGTTACCTTTCTCGAGGGGTCAGTTACATGTTGCCTTATTGGAATAAGTAATTACCGACAGAGCTATTGGAAGCGGTAGTTACCTTTCTCGAGGGGTCAGTTACATGTTGCCTTATTGGAATAAGTAATTACCGACAGAGCTATTGGAAGCAGTAGTTACCTTTCTCGAGGGGTCAGTTACATGTTGCCTTATTGGAATAAGTAATTACCGACAGAGCTATTGGAAGCGGTAGTTACCTTTCTCGAGGGGTCAGTTACATGTTGCCTTATTGGAATAAGTAATTACCGACAGAGCTATTGGAAGCAGTAGTTACCTTTCTCGAGGGGTCAGTTACATGTTGCCTTATTGGAATAAGTAATTACCGACAGAGCTATTGGAAGCGGTAGTTACCTTTCTCGAGGGGTCAGTTACATGTTGCCTTATTGGAATAAGTAATTACCGACAGAGCTATTGGAAGCAGTAGTTACCTTTCTCGAGGGGTCAGTTACATGTTGCCTTATTGGAATAAGTAATTACCGACAGAGCTATTGGAAGCGGTAGTTACCTTTCTCGAGGGGTCAGTTACATGTTGCCTTATTGGAATAAGTAATTACCGACAGAGCTATTGGAAGCAGTAGTTACCTTTCTCGAGGGGTCAGTTACATGTTGCCTTATTGGAATAAGTAATTACCGACAGAGCTATTGGAAGCGGTAGTTACCTTTCTCGAGGGGTCAGTTACATGTTGCCTTATTGGAATAAGTAATTACCGACAGAGCTATTGGAAGCAGTAGTTACCTTTCTCGAGGGGTCAGTTACATGTTGCCTTATTGGAATAAGTAATTACCGACAGAGCTATTGGAAGCGGTAGTTACCTTTCTCGAGGGGTCAGTTACATGTTGCCTTATTGGAATAAGTAATTACCGACAGAGCTATTGGAAGCAGTAGTTACCTTTCTCGAGGGGTCAGTTACATGTTGCCTTATTGGAATAAGTAATTACCGACAGAGCTATTGGAAGCGGTAGTTACCTTTCTCGAGGGGTCAGTTACATGTTGCCTTATTGGAATAGGTAGTAATTACCGACAGAGCTATTGGAAGCAGTAGTTACCTTTCTCGAGGGGTCAGTTACATGTTGCCTTATTGGAATAAGTAATTACCGACAGAGCTATTGGAAGCGGTAGTTACCTTTCTCGAGGGGTCAGTTACATGTTGCCTTATTGGAATAAGTAATTACCGACAGAGCTATTGGAAGCAGTAGTTACCTTTCTCGAGGGGTCAGTTACATGTTGCCTTATTGGAATAAGTAATTACCGACAGAGCTATTGGAAGCGGTAGTTACCTTTCTCGAGGGGTCAGTTACATGTTGCCTTATTGGAATAGGTAGTAATTACCGACAGAGCTATTGGAAGCAGTAGTTACTTTTCTCGAGGGGTCAGTTACATGTTGCCTTATTGGAATAAGTAATTACCGACAGAGCTATTGGAAGCGGTAGTTACCTTTCTCGAGGGGTCAGTTACATGCTGCCTTATTGGAATAGGTAGTAATTACCGACAGAGCTATTGGACGCAGTAGTTACTTTTCTCGAGGGGTCAGTTACATGTTGCCTTATTGAAATAGGTAGTAATTACCGACAGAGCTATTGGAAGCAGTAGTTACTTTTCTCGAGGGGTCAGTTACATGTTGCCTTATTGGAATAGGTAGTAACCGACAGCGCTATTGGAAGCAGTAGTTACCTTTCTCGAGGGGTCAGTTACATGATGCCTTATTGGAATAGGTAGTAATTACTGACAGAGCTATTGGAAGCAGAAGTTACCTTTCTCGAGGGTTCAGTTACATGTTGCCTTATTGGAATAAATAATTACCGACAGAGCTATTGGAAGCAGTAGTTACCTTTCTCGAGGGTTCAGTTACATGTTGCCTTATTGGAATACGTAATTAATGTACGATAGAGTCATTGGATGTGGTAGTTATTGTACCGGAAGTGTTACTTAATTTATTGATGTTGAGCACACTCTGATGACGGACACAAATTTAGAAGCTTAGATGAGATTAACAAATGCATGTTTTTTCCATTGAAATATTTGCACATAAGGGAAGCAAAATATGTGGCATTCACTTGTTTAGTACTACTGAGATTAATTATTAAGCTGCCATTATGTTTGTTTTTTTACAACAAAAAGGACCTTTGCCATGATGCACGTTCTAGCTATAACAGAGACCTACACATCTACAATATAGGTATATTAGCTGCAGTAGCATTCGAGATAGAACATTGTAGAGTGTGTGTGTTATCAAGGAGGTATCGAGTTAACATTTGACCTTTTAATGCAAACAGGTTTGACCTCTGTAAGAGGTACTTGATGAAAACAGATATAGAAGTTAGAGAAATCCGTTTATTTCTGGATCCTATATCGCTGGCCCTGAGTGTTTAAGAAGGTCTCAGGTGCGTTCCAATTTCGGCTTGAGTTTCTTCTCAATTAGACACACAATACTACTTAATGCCCTATAGTGACTACCGTTACTGGGTATACGTAACGAATTCCCTATATAAGTGAGACAGGAATTTATATATACACAAAGATCAAATGTATTCACAGCAACCTGTAGTTAAGGATGTAACCTGCCTCTATTTGACATGTATTTCCTGTTCGAAAGAGTTCCACACACGGCGCCGGATCTCGTGTACGCTCGTGTCGTTCTACACTAATTACAAACACGTTTTATGAACGATCATTTAGACTGTTAATTACTCGGTATTCTATAAAATATTACGAAATAACGTTCCACAAGATGTACCATATATACCAACTAACTGATGTGGTCATCTTGAAGCGACGTTTTGTTTCAGCCCGCCTGATTTTAATTTTTGTGGATTATATAAGTTCATAAGGACACCTTTCACCTCAATTACCGTTAGAGTATGACTATTTTAAGTTGTTATCTTTTGACACCAATCATAAAATGCGTTTCGTGAAGATGCATAAAAAGAAGTCCAAAGTTAGAATAAATGATTAAATATGCACTTTAGATATTATCCAACATGCGGTGCGTTAATGGAGCCAACGCTACTGGAGTTCAGAACAAATAAGTCTATAATGTCGCAACATGTACAGAAATATAAAGGATTTGGCGAATGAATACGCTGTACATACATAGTTACTGTTTTGGTATAGTACTAAATATCAAACATGTAGGATTACATCGCCTGTTTCCTGTACAGTCAGTCAGTCTATGCACTATAGTAAGTA